GCAGCTTCCCTGTGAGCTGGTCCTTGCACTTGAAGATCCCATCGTGCTCATCCCACAGCGTCTCGAACCCACGGAACCCTGCATCAAGCCAGCCCTCGATCTCGGCGGCCACGTCCTCGTGGCCGAGCTTGAGTGCGAGCCAGCGCAGGTCGCGGTTGGCGCGCAGCAGAATGGAGTTCACGCACAGGTCCGTCACGCGGAACGGCGAGATGTGGTACAGCTGTGATGAGTCGTAGAAGTTGGTGTTTTTGAAGCTGGCCGGGAGGGAGTGAGATACGGGGAGGATACGAGGGGTGGCGGGTGTTGGGGAAGGATGGGAAGGGGCGGGGGGGGGGAGGGGGAGGGGGGGGGCAGATGGAGAAAGAGTGCAGTGGCACGGGAGAGGAGAGAGAGCGAGGGCATGAGAAAGGCGTGCGTAGGAAAATGCAGGAGAGAAAACACAGAAACGACACGAATGCGCTGCGCGTACGTGTAGAGGAGTGTGAGGTAGCGGTCATATGTAGCCTTGTCAGGGCGCATGGCGGCATCAACGTGTGTGAGGTCGCGGCGCTGATAAGGTGGCAGGTCGATGATGGGGAACTGCATCGCCTCGTCCCACGCTGGGCTGTTGTCCATGCCGCTCTCCCACGGGTGCAGGATCGCCACCACGCCCGTGCCTAGGGGGTCGCGTGCCTGGTGTGGGCAGCACACAGTGGGTGGGGCATGAAAAGTTGGGGCGAGTGTGAATGAGAGAAGGTGGTGGGGGAATCACATGGTGGGAGCCTGGGAGAGGCATCATAAGGTTTGGTGGGGTATCAGACAGGGTTGGGGCTTGAAGAGTTGGGGCGAGTTAGAATAAGCAACTGTACAATGCTGTGTTGCATGAAGCTGCTGTTCTCCATGCCAGCTGAACGGGTGAAGCGCAGTGTTTTTGTTTTCTCCATTCGCTTTCTAAAGTAGTTGTGGGGTTCCCCGCATCACCTCCTCAAGTTCTTGCCAAAGCCATCATCTTCCCAAAAGCTATCTCCATCACCCACCTTGTACCACCAGCGGTGCCACGCCAGCAGCTTCGGAAACAGCAGCTCCATCTTTTCCCTCGCCAGCTCCTTATCCACAGCATGCTCATACAGAAACCGCACAGACAGTGTCGCCACAGGCGGCTGGGTGATGCCCGTGGAAGGGCTGGGGCGCTCCTTGCTGCCCCAGATCTCGGGCCCGGGGAAGTAGGAGTCGGTGGGGCGGTGGAAGAGGATGGACGGCACCATGCCGTCGCTCCACTGCCCCGACATTAGCATCTCGATTTCTTGCCACGCGCGCGGCTCGTCGAACACCGCCCAACCTGCTGCCACGATGGCGCTGTCCCAGTTCCACTGGAGTGGGAAAGGGGGGCGAGGGACGAGAACGAGGGAGAGCGAGCGGGAGTGGCAGGGAAGGGACTCTGAAAACGCGAAACGGAAGAGCGCATGCCACAACGATGGACGGACATGAATGGGGGACTGGTAGCGAGATGACTCTTTAACCAGTTTAAAAGGACTAATCGATGGACGAACAAGTAGACGGGCGGACGAACGGATGGAAGGACGGGCGGAGGGACCGACGGACGGACCTGGAAGGGGTAGAGGCCTTGCGTGGGGATGGTGTAGCCGCCCAGGTCGTTCTCCCGCAGCACGCGCATGGAGTGGTCCACTATCGCGCGTCGCCCTGGCGGCAGCTCCGAATCGTCCAGCATGCTGGCGGATGAATGGATGGATGGATGCCATGGGGGGGAGATGCAGCAGGGGGCAATGGTGCGACGAGGTTGAGACGCTTCATACCTCGACGAACATGATTGGCGAGAGCGAGGAGGAAGGGCATAGTCGGAAGCGAAGGAATTATGGAATAAAAGGAGGAGGATAGACGCGATCAGGAGAGAGGGGAAGACAGATAGCGAGGGAAGGAAGCGACGCATGGGGAAAGCAAAGAATGTGCTTGCTAATTTTTCTTCTCGCAACAAAGGAGTAAGTGGCAATTAGTCGCACTCCATCACGTAACCAGTTGCCGAGTGATTTGCACATCTGGCCAGCGTGGTGTTTGAGTTCTCTTAACAGTGATAACATCGCACACACTTGTCTCTAGAGTTTCTTGTCTATCGTGCATCGAGCACGTGCACGTGCGCAGGACCTTTTGACTACACGAAATTCATTTCGCGCGCACGTGCTCAGCATCCCCACACCACACGCCCCACGTTCCATCTCCATATCCCACTCCCCCCTCACCCCTCCCATTTTCACCCCCTCCCCACCAGAAACTTACCCGGGCGTCACGAGCGAGAAGAGGTGTCTCAAGCTGCCGGCTCGCCACTGCGCCTGGTCCGACGGCGATTTCATCAGCGTGCTCGCAACCACGCCGTTCGTTCCCTTGCTCGCCGCGATACCGCCACCACCGCGGGGCTGCATGTCCATCGGCAGTGCCGACACGTCGTCGTTCGACCACCCGCGCGACATCCCAGCGGCCGCGACGGCATCACTGGGCGAGCCGCCGGCGCTGCCGCCGCCGCCGCCGCCGCCGCCACCACCTTGTTGACTCAATGGCTTGCTGATAATCCCGTTCTTGCCCCGCTCCGCCATTTCTGATTCAACGCGCGAAGCTCCTCCTTCCGAATGTTCCATGTCATCGATTGGATCTCTCCACGTCAGCTTGTTACCGTTCCTGCTGGCGGGAAGTTTCCCTCCGCCGGTCGCGGAGATGGCGTCGGAAAGCCAGGGCGCGCAAGCGAGGCAGGACGAAAAGAGGCGAACGAGGGTCGAGGCGGACGGGGGAGGCGCAGACGCGCGGAGGAGAGGCCCAGGCGCGGGGGAAGCGGCGGAACGAGCGACGACGAGGGTTTCGCCTCCCCCCTGCGGGAGATGGCCCACGTCGCCCATGATGGTGACTGCCGATGGATGGTGGGCCGTTGACTCTTTCAAGTTGGCGAGTGGCAGTGTCTTCTGCAAGCGTGCAGAGCAGCCGCTTGTGTTACAGAAGCTGCCGAATAATGAATGAAGTCAGAGTGGGCGTTAGTGTGAGTTGTCAGGTGTTAGATGTGCCGGTTACGGCGCGTTGGCGGGCGTTGAAAACGCGTTGTTAGTGCGGTTTGCGAGGGCGTCAGTGTAGTTAAGGATGGTATGGACTCGTTCTCCGTGAAGGGTAATGGTCGCCAGACTGAGCGACGCGCGACGCGACGATGCGAGGAGTTTCAGTCACAAATCCTCCGCGAACAGCGACCGGCGAGCAAAAACACCGCCACGGCTGGACGAGCTCGCAAAGAGAGTAAGCGAGAGGCCCAGAGAGTAAGCGAGTCCGATCAAATGTATGTTGCCAGAACACGGCGGTATGAGTGTTCAGTACCAGTTAGTATCCGTCAAACATGAGTGTGAGTCACGCACACGAGGAGTTGGCCGATGACGCTGATGGTGAGAAACCCAAGGGTAATAACACTGGGCTTTTCGTGGTCCCCTCCTCAGCAGCCACGGGATGGCCGGGTCGTGGTGGTATCAGGAGAACGAATCGAATGCGACCAAGATCTGAGGAACGAATCAGGTGCTGCTCTGTCGGGTTATTGTTTCAGGCTCGGAGCCTGGAGAAGGACACGAGTCCTAATGCGGGCGGTCCCGAGGTTGTGCAGTGCTGAGGCTGTGCAATTGAGGAAGCACACACGATTGAGGTTGAGCAGAAGCAGAACGCGGATGAACACTAACAAGAGGTACTCCCGATGCTGTTTCAGGGGAATTGAGCTGAGGCAGAATCAAGGGTCAAATTGGGAGGGAGGGGCGCGTAAGTGGAACGTGACTCTTCGTCATGCAGATTGAGTCTAGAGAGTTCCGCAGCAGGCTATAGTTAGACTGACTTGGTTTGGGGGGAGAGCAACGAAGGGCCAAAACCGAGACTGTGAGTGAGTCTTCAAGGTCGTGGTTCGGAACGAACGCAGCTGACCTGGTGGTTCGGCTGAACCTGGTTGTAGCCAATGTTAATGCCTCGGTGTTGCCCACCTTCTTTTCTGATTCGTGAATTCCAGCCGAAGCCATGAAAATGTTGGACAACTTAGCTTTGCCAAGCCAGCCAAGGTGATAGACGATTTGTCAAGAAAGGCGAGCAGCCTCAATTTTCAGACCCTGCCCTGGACCTTGGTGTGGCGAGGCGACGAGGCAATGAAAGGCGCGTCTCGAAGTTGCGCATATGTGGCGTGCACTGATTGCTGGAAACCAGATTTTGCGAACCGATGCCCCAAATTGGTGGAATTGCTCCATGAAGCGGTTTCAAGGGGCGGCGTCAATACACGCGACACTGTGACACTGTGACATGTAGTCACTGTGACACGCGTGTTGCGCATCACGTGACGTAATATGACTTGCAAAATCAATCACAAAATTACACGTGGAAAATACTTGCCAATCAGTGATGATGATATTTCCAGAAGTAACCAATCAATTCAACTGTGAAGCCCTTAGGCTCATCCTCCGTGATTTCCGATTCGCGCTTGTGGCTTGGGCCTTTTTCTTCCACGCAAGTGGGTCGCTGGTTTGGCTTGGTATCCTGGGGGTGCAACCAAAACCAGACCGTAGATTCCGTTGAGGTGCATGAATGTTGGTGTTGGGGGTTCAAAGCAGAAAACGAGTTTACCATTAGCAGCGGGTCGCAGCACAAGCTGTGGGTAAGCACTTTCAATAAGTACATGTCAGCATACTCGCTCAGTACAATACCACTACAGATACAGGCAAAAAGAAAAGTTGTCCGTACCAAAACCAGACCGTAGATTCCGTTGAGGAGCATGAATGTTGGTGTTGGGGGTTCAACGCAGAAAACGAGTTTACCATTAGCAGCGGGTCGCAGCACAAGCTGTGGGTAAGCACTTTCAATAAGTACATGTCAGCATACTCGCTCAGTACAATACCACTACAGATACAGGCAAAAAGAAAAGTTGTCCGTACTTGCTCCTCCAGTAGAAATCTGTAGCAATGGGTGCCCGTAGGGATACTAATTCACAAGTAACATTCATGGCCATACTAACAACGGATCTCATAGGCCCCTGCACGTGTGATGTAACGCACCCACTCCACTGTGCTGTAACCACTCTTCTCCCACACCTGTCACAAAAACCCCTAAGGTGGTCAGAAGATAAAGGCAGTAAAATCCGGGCTAGGAAGACATAGAAGGGGACAAGAACGGCGGGGGTTAGGCTTCATGCATGAAAGGTAACAGACAACGAAACACATCAGAAGAAAATGAACAGGAGAATACCAACAGCAGCAGTCATACCTTGAGGAAGCGCACTCGTAGCCCAGATGCAGTGAACATGGGCACCTGGACAACAGATTGATGGCATGGAACAAGGCACACAATTAATGCGGACAAATGGTAAAAAATACAGCCAAAGAATCCCTTTTCAGAAGAACCCCTTCAACTACAACACAACTAGGAGTGCTTGAACCAAAGATGAACATGTGTCTCGATGAGTACAAGAGCAGTGGTTTGACTCAAGGCGACCATGTGTCTGGTGGTTACATAGCAGTCAGCCAGCCATGTGCTTACCTGGCAGCCAGGCACATGCTTACCTGGAACTCCATCTGGATGGGAGGGCGTGTGCCCTGCTTCTTGTCCACCATTGTAGAAATCAGCTCCACCTCCGCACTCATGCTCAGCTCCGTCTGCCCGGGAAATTTCTTTATTCTGCCCGAGCAATTCAGTGGTGGGTGAAGGTGGAGAGGGCGAGAGGCAGGTAGGCAGCGAGGGAAGGTAATAACATTTAGAAGGGAGGCCAGAAAGAGAAACCAATTATTCGAATAGACAAGGAGAAGTCGGCGAATAAAATCAGAGAAACTCAGTCATCAACTGAAGGAACCAGTAAGAACTAGTGCCGTTTCAGGCACATACACACATACAGGAGACACACACAAAGACAAGCAAAAAAACGTGGCAGAAGCATAACGACTCACTTCCAGACAATGGCATCGACAGCGGCGTTGTACTTGGCCCGGCCGGACGTGACACTGAGGGAAGCCTTGGCCGTGTGCTTGGGCACAGGCACCTTCACTATCACATTGAGGGCAAACATCTTGGCGCCAAACACACTCTTCACCTGCTCCCGTGCACAGAATTTGGGACAAGTGAAATATGTGGGATATGTGGGTTGTACATGAAAACAAAGGATCGGGCAACGACAAGACGAGACAGTGTGCAGCAGGCGGTGCAGAAAGGAAAGGGAGTGATGATTACTGATTGTGTAGCATCAAAAGGGAAGGAAACCACGTGCATAGAATGCATGTCTCTGAAACCACATGGTCATCAAATTCAACGTTCAGAATCGCTACTAGATGACATGACATGTGGTGTGGCACCTTGACGTTGACTTCAAAGCGTGTGCGGCCGAGCTCCTTGATCATGGGCAGCACACGGAACGGCAGGTTGATGCCCTCCGTGATGCGGTACCTGCATGTGCATGTGCATGGCACCAAGGCGGTGGAGTGGGGACACAGGCAGTGCAGGTGAAGAGCTAGGCAGGAGAAGGTGAAGAGGCAGGCAGGAGGGCAGGAATGGGCAGTGTGGAGAGAGGGCTGCAACAGGCCACGAGCAGCAGGAGGCAACGAGCAGGCACGAGGAACAAGGGATGAGGTTGGCTGAGAAGAGGGGCAAGGCAAGCGGAATTGCAATCAAACAACACGCCCCCACACACCCCACACACCCCCCACCAACACAGCCCCTCTTCCCATCCACACTCGAATTCCCCTACCCTTTCCACTCCATCCAGTCCCCATTGACGACACCCGACAATCATGGAACCCTTACCCCTGCTCATGCAAGCAATCCTTCCCCAAGTTCCCCGCTCACATAATGAATTGAATTCACCGAACTGACAGCCTTCTCTACCTCTACCCCACACCTCACTACCCATTCCACCCCCACCTCATCCCCATCCCTCCCCACACATTTCAGCCAGCAGTCATTCACCCCCTTCCCCCTCCCCTCAATCCCGCCCTTCTGCTCGTCTCCCCTGCCCCCGGTCCCGCGCTCACTTCATGAGTTCAAACTCCCCGTCAGGGGGCACGAAGCTGACGGTCTTCTCCGTGTTGAAGCGCGCCAGGTTCACGCACTGGTGGAACACCACATCGTCCAGCTCTATGGTCTTGCCGCTGCGGGGGGAAGAGAAAGGATGGGGTGGAAGGGGAAGGGAGGGAGGGGATGGAGGACGGCGTGCGAGCAAGACGACGTGAGGGCAAGGTTGGAGCAGAGACAGGACAGCGGTCTGGAGGTTCACGCACTGGTGGAACACCACGGCATCCAGCTCGATGGTCTTGTGACGTGGTGAGAGAGTGGGAGAGGAAGTGGGAGAGAGTGGGGAAGGGGGTGACGGCGTGAGGGCATGGCTTGGAGGGGGACAAACCAGTTGTGTCAGGTTTTTTGCACTGGTGGAACACCACACTATCCAGCGCGATGGACGGGGAGAGGGGGCAGAATGGGGAGAGGAGACAGGGTGGAGGGCGCTGAGTGAAGGAGTAAAAAAGAAAAAAGAAAAGAAAGGAGTAAAACCCCACCACATCCCTGCACTTCCCCCTCGTCCCCTTTCCCCCCACACCCCCTCTTGCCCTTCCCCTTTCGCACCCACCTCACACCTCACTCACCCTACTCCCCTCCCACTCCCCCCTTCCTAACCCCCCTCCTCCCCCCATTCCCTTCCAGGGCACACACCTGCGGGCGGGGCGGGCGCGCATCTGCGCCTCGTTCTCAAGGCCGATCTTGTCGTTCAGACCCAGCTTGAGGTCCGGCATGCCCGAGAGGAAGCACTTCATCAGCACCTTGCCCGTCACGTCACACCGCAGTATGGTGCCTGGGGGGGGGGGTGGGGGTGGGATGGTGGGGGAAGGGGTGGAGAGAGAAAGTCGGGGAGGAGGAGAGGGGGAGAGTGTTAAAAGGGGAAAAGGGGAAAGGGGGAAACGGGGGGAAGGAGAGATGGAGAGAGGGAGAGAGGAGGGGTGGGGGAAGGGGAGAGGTTAAGGGAGAGGGGCGTTGCCATGGTGAACGCAACGCACCTTTTTGTGACATGAGGAGGTTGACACTCTCAACGATATCCAAAAAGACCTGCCACAGATAGAGGGGAGCGACGGGCACAGATACAGGCACACAGGCACACAGGCACACAGGCAGACAGGCACACAGGCACACAGGCAGACAGGCAGACAGGCAGACAGGCAGACAGGCAGACAGGCAGACAGGCGGGCAGCACACACACACACACACACACACACGCACACACACGACTCCCCCCCTCCCAAACCCCCTCTCCCCCTCCCCCCCCCACACAAACAAAACACACATGCACCAAACCCGTTCCTTCCTCCCTCCCCCCCACCAGCATGCATACAGGGCAGCGCACATGCATGCAGACGAGTCATACAAGGGCAAGCAGGGTTGAAGCTACGGACACGGCATGGGGGGCCGATGACAGGGATATAGCAGGACGAGATAGCACCGCGAATGGAATAGCAGCAGAAATCAAACAAGGATTGGGGAGACAACTTTAGAGGCGCCTAATGAATTGAGGGACGAGACAGCACCAGGCAGAGGGTATAGAAGGAACTGAATAGGGAGACACCTGGAGGTGCTACAGCGAGGTAGAGAAGGCGAATGGATGGGGAGAATGGGCGACGGGGGAGGTGAGGAGAGACGTGAGATGGCGAAATGGAGAAGGAACGAGAGGGATGCGAAAGGAGGAAGAGGCGGGTGGGGGGAGGGAGGAGAAGGGGAGGGTAGAGAGTGAGCAAGGCACACTAAAGGAGCAGCAATAGGGTGAAGTCAAGCTGTGTGTGTGGAAGGAGCAGGTGGGGAGTGAGGTAAGCGCACCTCGTTCTTCTTGTACACGAGCCCTTCTCTCCGCCACCCCACGGCGCCCGTGACTTGCAGCGTCGCATTGGCAGGCGGCCTCACCTCCTTCTCCTGCTCCACACCCACGCATGCCCACACACGCACGTACAACCAAGGAGAACGCACCACAGGGGAATCACACCAGAGGGAAAGGGCGGAAGAGGGGAAGAGCGGGATAAACGAGGAGAATCTAAGCGTGAAAGAAAGGAGATAGAAAGGATTCAATGCAAAGACGTAAGTCTTTGAGTACTGAACGATGCGATGCATGCTGTGCGAAGGAGTGAGGCGAGGGATGAGACTGCGGAGGCTAACCTTGGAGAAGGGCGAGCGGACGCCCTCTTGTGTGATGTACAGCTTCACGATCTCCGGTGATAGATTCTGTGGGAACCCGAAGTCCATGATCTCTGTGCCATAGCGAGGGGATTAAGGCCACCACCACGCCATAACGGCAAACGTGCATGCACAAACACGGGCGGGCACTCACGCGTGCGTAACCATGCACAGATGCATGCATGCACACGCACATGCACACGCACATGCACAGCCAAACCCACCCCCCCACCACACACACACGAGCACGCACATGAACACGCACACACAGGCATACCCCCCTCCTCCCAACCCCAAGCGCGCGCGCGCGCACACACACACACACATGCAAACACACACATACGTATCACCGTGCACACACACGCACAGACGGAAGCAACACGTGAGAATGGGCAAGCACACAAGAGCGGGAGGCCGTGAGGGAGGAGGCAGGGGCGCGAGTCGTGTCAAGGGAGAGGCAGAGGGGCGGTGGGACGGGTACAGCAAGGGCGAGGGAGCAGAAGACTGGTGCGCGAGTGAGCGAGTGAGCTAGTGCGCGAGTGAGAGTATGATGAGCGCGTTTGTGCGTGAGCGCGTAAGCGAGTGAGCGAGTGAATGAGTGAAGGTAGCGTACCGTCCAGCAGCTCGTAAATGAGGACAAAGTTGTTGCGGATGGAATCCTCGTCGAACGTGCCTCCGAAGTACGACTTGAACAGCGCCACGGCCTGCGAGCGGACAGCGGGGAGGGAGAAATACATGCGACGAACGCGGAGAGAAGGCACATGGGAGCAGCGGAGCAGGATAGCCTGATGCTTTGGATACGTTGCAAGATACCCAAGAGGCCAAATCACCAGTCGAGCAAACCATAAAAACTCCAACCACCGATTCTCACCATTACCCCCACCACTGCCTTCCCCTCCCCATCATCCCCTCATCCCCCCCTCCCTCCCCCCCACTCCCACACGCGCACACACTCAAAAGTCACTCGCGCGGCGGCGGGGGCGCCGGGAGCGGGAGAGGGAGCGGGAGCGCACCTCGACGATGAACTTGAAGGCGAGCGCGGCGTTGGCGTTGCTGTTGACGACGATGACGATGTACACGTTGCTGATGCGCATGTACAGGAACGAGCAGTTGCCGATCTGCCTCACCGGACACGTGCCCAGGTCCTTGGTCTGCAGAATCTGCATGCGGAACGCGTCCACCATGTTGCCGCTGCGCGCCCGCGCGCGCGCGCGAGAGGGGAGATGGAGGGCGGAGAGGGGGGGAGGGGGGGGGAAGAGAGGAGGCAAGGAAGGCGAGAGGTGGATAAGTAGGGGAGAGAGGGAGGGAGCGAGAAGGGAGGGGAGAAATCAGCGCAAGGCAAGGGATTGGCGTCGTAAGGGAGTGACGAACGTCGGGATAGGTGAACCGTTAAACACAACTTATCTCAAAGGGATCCTTATATGACCCGCTTATAATTACGAGGTGATGCTAACGATGTTCAAGAAGGCACTTCAAGACAAGCAAGCTAAAGAGGCGACACTAAAGCGGCGGCAGCAGAAGTGTGCGTCTGAACCATCTCGAACAGATCTTGCATGCATGCCGTTCTCCATCACGCCACGCAAAATGGTTACGACTGACTGATGCGACATCTAGCCTACGAATTTGCTAAAGGCGTATGACATTTTTCTCCAGTATTGAAAACAGCGTTTGAAAAGCCATGGATTTCACAGATGTGCCTGTCGCAAGTAAGAATCCTGGTTCCATGATTTGTTTGGACCCGATGCGAGGCGACGCGCAAGCGACAAGGCACACTCACCCGACGTCATCTCGGTAAAGCCGGTTGATGAGCACGTCCCCTCGCAAGTTCAGGAAATAGATCGCCGACGCCGCCACAGGCATGGTGCGCGGCGAACGACGGGCAGAGCCCGCTCGCCGGCTGTCTGGTATATGCTTGGCGAAAGCCGAGAGCGGGGAAAGGCCAATGGCTGACACAGAGTACCTCGAGCCTAAATGGGACCTTTAGATTCAAGATGTGCTAGTACCACTATCGACAACATAAGACTGCATCAGGAACGCACCCAGCGAAGGGATGCAAGTTAAGAGGAGCCAGATCCACGACCGGATGGTTGATCCGTTCGTACCAAGGACTCGCGTTCGTACTATGGGAGAGCTACAGTCCCTAGGATTACCAGTCGGCACGGGAATCGTGAGAGCTCTGACACCCAGAGATTTGCAGTCTAGGGATTGCTGGGCTGGCCGATATGGAGAACCAGATCGGGCAGAACCTAGGTGAAAATGGTAGAATGCTGGGAGCCAAGATTTCATTAGAGTGCGGCGCTTTACAGTGCACAAGACGTCGAAACGATATATTTTGTATCGAACAATAATGCGTTGACGTGGAATATTCGAATATTGCGAGGTGAGAGCGTGAAAGGGAGCAGACATGAGCAGAGCGGAGCGGACTGATAGCACAGTACAGGGGGGAAAGACTAGGCGCGGGGAACAAGAATGGGAGCGCTGATTGTGCTGCTGGCACTGGGAACCACGCGCTGCGCTGTTGGGGCCCTCTCCGCGTATCGGAGGTCGAGCTGAGGTCAGCTGAAAGGCGAGGTTCTCCTCAACGGGATTGGTCGGTGCCTCCACTGCATCGCGGAAATTTTGAGTTGCGCGCGTGGAAAGAAGCTGTTGGGGAGCAAAGCGGGGAAAATGCACGCTGCCCTGTAATGCTTCCAATTGGTTGCGCCCAAATATAGATTGGAGTGCCTGCATTTCTAAGGCACCGCTTCACCTGGAACCATGTACAGAACCTTTTTTTTCCAGAATAATACTGCAGTTACCAATGTCGAAGAAATTTCACCCTCACCGCATCGTCGCCACGTCAGCTCTGAGAAAATCCTAACCGGCAAGAACAGGGACTTGGCACACGCGCCATCAGCTTAGAATCCAACCGTACGTGCGCTGAACGCGCACACCACACGAAGTAATTCTGCGCGTTCGCGTCGCGTCCAGAATGCGCGTGGTGTCGTGGAACATCAACGGGCTGCCGACCACATTCAAGGAGGCCAGCAGCAAATACGGCTCCGTCGCCAACTTCTTCTCAAATGTCCTCCGCGCGGACGTGCTCTGCCTGCAGGTACTGCTCACCATCATCACCGCGTACGACGCTGTTAGGTTCAGATAATGCCAATCCGTACCCACTCCCTTCCCTCTTCCCATTCCTACCCTCCCCCCTCCTTGCTTCCCCACTCTTCTTTTCCACCCAAACCCCCTCCCGCCCCCCCAACTCCCTGTCCGCCGTGCCCACCCCCCATCCGCCTACGCCCCTGCGCGCCAGGAGGCGAAGGTGGCGGAGGAGCGGGTGGAGCGGGCGTGGGCGCTGGTGGAGGGGTACGACTCGTACTGGGCGTTCAGCCGCGACAAGAAGGGGTACAGCGGTGAGCGCCCGCGCGCATACGCACACAGACACACACATAACGAGCCCCGTTCCGTAGTGTTCACTAACTTATGGCTAACTTGTGCCATGCTGACCCGTTGGTGCTTCATGTTCCTACATACCCCACTCCACGCGCCACCCATGCCACACCCCACCTCACCCCACCCCACCCCACGGCAGGCTGCGTGACCTTTGTGCGCGATGCCCTGACCCCTCTAGACGCGGTCGCTGATGCTGTGGGCCCCAACGGCCTCGCATGGGACGCCAGGAGCACAGAGAGAACGCCCTGGGAGGGGGTGGGAGGAGGGCTTGTTGTTGACATGGCGGGTGATGGTGCCCCTGGTGGTGGGGGAGGAGATGAGGAAACGGATGGGGGAAGGAGAGGAGAAGGAGTGGAGGTGATGGAGGAGGGGGAAGGGGAAGGGGAAGGGGAAGGGGAAGGGGAAGCGGAGGCGGATGGGGAGGAGGGGGAGGGGGAGGGGTCGGTGTGGAGGGAGGGGCGGTGTGTGAGGACGGACCACGGGCGGTTTGTGCTGCTGAACGTGTACGTGCCGAATGCAGGCGAGCGCAAGCACGGGCGCCCGCGGCTGCGACGCAAGATGGCGTTCCTGCGAGCGTTGCGCTCAGAATGTGAGGTGGGCTGGCGGCCAGGAGGAGCGATGGGGGAAGGGGAGGGAAAGGGGGATAAGGGACATGGGAGGCTTTTGATTGGGATGTCAAGGGATTAGGTGGAATGTGTGCGGGTGGGCTCGGATATGCAAGGTTTCTCTGAGAGGCTGTGTGGGAGTGAGAGGCTTGAGAACCTGACCTGACGGTTGGCACACCCTTATTCAGCTCAGCTCAGCTCAGCCGCGGCCTCTCCCCACCCCACCCTTCTCTCTCCCACTGCCATTTCCATCCCAGGCGATGCGATAAGGGCGAGTGGGCGGCACGTGGTGGTGGTGGGCGACATCAACATCTCCCACCGCGACATAGACGTGTTCCACCAGTGGCGCGTTGCCCACATCTACTGCCCTGGTGCGTGCGTGCCTCCGTGCCTCCTGGCCTCTTCTGTTTGCCTTTTCCCTCTCCGTGTCGCACCTTCTGCACACGCCATGCATTTCACCCTACTGTATAACGTGTGCATCTTGCTGGCCTGCAAGCTCACCCTCCTCCGTCCTCTCCCCCCAACCCCCCCTCTTAGCGGAGCTGCAGTGGTTGGATGCGCTGTTCGGGCACCCCGGTGCGCCCTACGTGGACCTATTCCGCCACTCCCACTCCTGCCCTGCAACCTCGCACCGTCTCCCCCGTCTCCTCTCTCTCCCCGTCCCCCTCCCCTGTTTCAGCGGAGCTGCATTGGCTGGAAGCGCTGTTTGGGAGCCCCGGTGCGCCCTACGTGGACCTATTCCGCCACTTCCACCCCACGGCTGCCGGTGCCTTCACCGTGTGGGACCAGCGCACCGACGCGCGCAGCCGCAACGAGGGCCAGCGGTGCGTGCCGTGATTCAGTCGACTGAATGGTCACCTCGCTGTCTGCTTTCGCCTTCTTTTCCCATCCCATTCAAAACCACACATCCACATTCTCCTTCGCTTCCCACCCCATCCCACACATTTCCTCATTTGCCCCGGCCCCGGCCATCCTCCCAGCATCGACTACGCAGTGTGCGACACCGCCTTCCTCCCGCAAGTCCTTGCATGCGACATCGTGCGAGTGTCTCCCAAGCAGTGGAGCGACCACGCTGCCGTCGCCCTCACCCTCTCTGATGATACCTCCCCGAAGGTGCTGCCCCCGCACCCCCGCCCTGCGCTGTCCGCGCGCAACATGCGGAAGTTCCAGGAAGATGTGACGCAGAGGAAGCTGACTGCCATGTTTGGTGCGCGGAGGGGAGGAGGGCAGGGGGGGAAAGCAGGGAGGGAGGGCAAGGAGAAAGAGCAAAAGGAGGAGGAGGAGAAAGAGAAAGGGGGAAAGGAGGAGGATATGGAGAAGGAAAAGGGGGGGGGGGAGGAGACGCAGGGAGAGGGGGGGGCAGAAGAGAGGAGAGGGAGGGAAGAAAGAGGAGGTGGAGAGCGGGAGGGTGAGGAGATGATAAGTGAGGAGTGGACGGATGGAAAGGGAGAGGTTGATTCGGGTGAGAGGGAAGGGAAAGGGAGGGAATGGGAGGGCGGGGAGGGTGGAGGCAGGGAGAAGCAGAACAGTGGGGGAGAAAGCAGGGAGGGCTCCCAGGAGAATGATGAGGCGAGGGGGGTGGAGGCTGACAGTGAGAAAGGGGAAGCTGATCATGAGACGGAGAGGACAGAGGTTGGTGGGGGTGGTGAGGGCATGCTGGGCGTGGAAGGGGGATGTGGAGACATGGGAGAAGGTAGTGCTGCTCGTGGTGATGGTGATGCTGGCGGTGCTGATCATGCTGCTGCTGAAGGCGATGTTGACGGCGGAGAGGGGGGTGGGGACATGCAGCATGGGGCTGCTGTTGATGATGGTTCTAGTGCTCGAGACGTTATTCGCTCCCAGAACAGCAGATCAGCTGCGGTAGCAGCAGCAGCTGCAGCAAAGACTGCGGCAGCGGCACAAGGGCAGGGGAAAAGAAGGGCAAGTAGTGTAGGCATGGCAGCAAGCGGGAGGGGGGTAGCAAAGAGGGGAAGGGGAGGGGGTAAGGGCGGCCCTGCTGCTAAAAGATCTGGCACTGGTGGCGCTGCTGGTGATGGCGCTGCTGCTGGTGGTAAAAGTGGATCACAACGTTTGATAACTCAGTTTGTCAAAAAACACTGAGCAGTACGCGGTATACTGCAGTAAGCTGCTTCTTTGTGCCTGGTATTGATGTGTCATGCCCATTCGTTCAGTGTGTGTGCCCTTTGTGCAAGCCCTTTGTAGCCAGAAAATAGCCTGCCATGGAATGAAGGCCACACACCTAACTTGCATCCCGTGCACTACTTCGCAAACTTCCTGAAAAAGCAGCATGTTAACATGGCAACCTGGTGCGGCATTTTTGGAGGTCTTGAAGTTCAACAGGGCAGGCTGCTGTTTCCACATTACGACCAGATTGGAGTGACTCGTAGGCATGCGCACTGGAACCGTACAATCACATCTGGGCAGAGGGGACAACAATGTACAGGCTGAAATATGTACATAACTACCGGTGTTTACATGCATGCACCTATGCATGCACCTGCCCTTGCATGCATGCACCTATGCTGTGCACGCACTTATAGTAGCACTCACAGCCATAGCCGTGTCATTCTATTTACTAACCCCGCTCCTCTTCCACACGGCATCAGCAGGCAGGGCAGGCACGGCAGCCACGCCCCACTGCATCCCCCTTGCACTTATTTACTACCTCTGTACAGCACTATAACGGAGCTTCTAAGGATATGAACCCTTGAGGGCCTTGAGAAGGTATTGTTAGTAAGCTCCCCACACACGCACGGACAGGGGGTGGTCAGGCACGAAGGCAGCACCACTGCAGGGGATGGTTTGGTGGTGGCCTGATGCTGATCCGCTGCTCCTGAGTCGGGCTGAATGCCTGGAATAGGATGGGGTTAAATGTGGGACCATGGAGGGGGGAATGGAACGGCGATGAGGTTGGTTGAAGTGGTACTGTGGATAATGATGGGGGTGACTGCCGCAGCCTACTCTAGGGCGTGGAAAAGAATATATTCGAAGGGCAGGACAGCAAGAGTCACCAATGCCGCACATGGTATCACCCGCACACAAGCGCACACAGAAAGCTCGTACAGACAACTGTGGCTATGGTGATGTGACGTCACCTGAGGGCCATGATGACCTCAGAAACATCCAGGAGTTCCCCGGCACGAGGTCGGACCCATCGTGCCATGGCGGCATGGAAGCATGGCTGCTGCTGCAACGCTGCCACTACCAACTCCCTCTCCACTCGCTCCACCGCTGCTGCTGCTGCTGCGGGTGATGCTGCTGATGATGCTGCTAATGATGGTGATGGTGATGGTGGTGATAGTGACGAGCCCCCGACAGGTATTCCAAACACCTCCACTCTCTCTAAGCACACAAACTGCTTCACCCCGTCCTCTCCCACCTCCTCCTCTTTTTTCTCTTCTCCACCCTCCCCCTCCCCATCACCTCTTTGCCGCCTCCCCTCCTCCTCTCCCCCATCCCTTCCCCCACCCGCCGGCTGGCAGGCAGTGAGGGGGGAGAGGCCTGTCAGGTGGATTCTCAGGTGGGAGCCGGCAACGAGGGCGGCAGGGGGCAGGGCGAGGGTGTGCGGTTGCAGCCAGTCCGAGGAGAGACGGATGGGTGGGGAGGTGTAGTGGAAGGAGGTGGACGAAAAACCCACTTGAATCTGGTGTGAGAGGGGAGAGACAGGGGGAGGGGTGAGAAATAGACATCAGGGGAGAGCGGGAGGAGAGTAGGAGGGTGTACAGAGGGGTGGCTGCACTGGCTGGCCCGCATGCCGCATGCTGCGTGCTACATCCCCCACCCCCTATTCCCATGCCCATGCCCATACCCCCCGCACCCCACGCGCCTGACCTGCATGTGGGAGGCGCGAGAGGAGCCATAGAGCGGGGCGGGGGTGACCACTAGTCCAGCCACGGCGCACAACGGGTGCGCCAGAGCCACGCCCACGAACTCCCCTGCTCTGCCCCCTGTTGTGCCCCCTGTTGTGCTCTCTGCTCCACCGCATGCCTTGCCGTGCCGCTCGCTCTCTGCTGCCCGTCTGGCTCTGGTGCGCGGCTGTGCGGTGGGGTGGGTTGGGATGGAAGGTGAGAGAGGAGGACGATGCGTTAGGCATATGCTTTGTGCTGGTGTGGTGTGGCGTTGAGTAAAGTGGACTGGCGTGGAGTGGTGTGGAGTAGTGTGGAGTGCACTGTGCATTGTGGAGGTACATTTGAACAATATGGAAGCTATCCCATGCTAATCAGAAAGCAATGCACATGCTTCAGAACCGACCTATCCTTTCCCTACTCTTCCAAATCCTATTTTCTCTTCTCTCTCTCCCCACTTCCCCTTTTTCACCTCCCTGCCCCCCTACCCGTTCCCCGCATCACCTCACTGCACCAGACGCCGCCATCTCCCCCGCACCCAATCCCCTGCACGCGCCACTCGCCCCACTCGCTCGAGCAATCCACCCCCCGTGCCACCAGCCTCTCTACCCGCCCCCCCCACTGCGCCCTTGCCAGCACCAGCGCGCCAAACAACCCCTTCCACCGCGCTGCTTTTCCCCCATTCCCCCCTGTCCCGCCTCTCTCCCCTCTCCCCACCCCAACGTCCCCGTCCCCTCGGCCCTCTCCTCCCCCGTTCGCTCCGCGTGCAGCAATGGGCGGGTGGCAGGGGAAGGTGCTCTCGCAACGCTGCTGCCACAGAGAGTCCGAGGCTGGCGAGCAGGGGTGCGGGTGGATTCATGGGGAAGTGAGTGGGAGTGCAGGGATGCGGGTGGGAATTTGGAGGATCAGACTTAAGATTGCGCATTGTGTTGTATTGTGATGAGCGTGTGTTCCAGAAGGCACCGTACTCACAAGCCAAGCGGTGCCAGCAGCGGCAGACAGCCGCCATGGCGCAGAGGTCAGACGCGGTGAGGTGCGGTGCAATGCACCCCTCCACCACCTCCGCCGGAACTCGGCACAGGGCGTGGCAGGGAGCATTCGACTCTGCATCGCGCCCCTGCTCACCCCGCCTACCGCTCTCCTGCTCCGAACACACAGCGGGCCCGCGTTGACTCTCTGGACGAGGCATAATGGGACTGCAGTGCACGTGACCAGGACCCACGTGACCAAAGCCCACGTGGCCAGGACCCGCCATCTCTTACGTCGAGACAGGGGGTAGCACCAAAGTGGATCACGTGAGAGGAGAGTACTACTCTACGGTCGCCACTGGGGGCCTCCCGTGATGTTAAGAGGTTCCATTATTTCTCAAGGTATCTCTATAATCGGTGCAAGTTCGCACTCCGGACACAACAGGTGGGATCTCGGCGAGTAGCCGATTCTGGTTGCTGTGCCGTGCCAGTGCCTTTAACGCCTGGCGCGATGCCAGGTTGTAACGTAAGAGTGCCTGTGTGGTGACCGCAAGGCTCGTTCATGACGTTTTATTAGAGCAGGGTTTTCCTCTAAGGAATGGGTTTGATGTCTCCTGAGAGCCACGGTGGCGTCGATATAGCGTGGGGGCCTCGAACGAAGTGACTGGGGTACATGGCATGGGAAGCAACGACAGGCTGCGGATGTGGAAACGAGAAGGGGTGGCGGAATCTAGCTAGTAGTGGGTGGTGATGGGCAACCGAGGGGTTTGACGAATGGGTTTGAAAATCTCAAGGCGACACTGGTTTCGGGGAGGGTGAAAAGGCGAGTGAGCGAAGTGGCTGAGCGACTGGTGCGACGAAACGCGCGACCATGCGATGGGTTCGATGCGAGTAGTCGCTGAGGCTGCCCGCCGCTGCATGAGAACATGGAATGCTTTGTTCTAGGATACTCCAATAGCGAGAGGCTGTGGGCGTCGCGCCGTGCGTAAAAGGAAAATGGGGTGTCCAGTCGGAATGGAGCTTCAAAGAGTAGTGATGGGTGGAGCGGCCATGGCGAAGCGGAAACGCGGTAACGAGTCGCCATGTGATCGGAGAGCGCGTGACGTGCATGGCTGCCGTACTAGCCAAGCACTGGAAGTATAGTCTGCGTTGGAATTTGCGCCTGGTTCTAGTCAAACGACGGCTCGAATTCGGGGAATGGGTGTTGTGCATTGCACAAGCTTCATACCTCCAAAATGTAGGTGTTGAAATTCGCGCCCATTCGCATCACGTTTCGTTTGAGGCTCGAAGTGGTTTTGGATAGGAACTAGCATAAGCAAGTACTAAATTTCCAGTGTAAAGGATCTCAGTAATAACAGAAAGAGCGCCATATTGAAACGCAGTTTAGTTTGATCGAAGTGATGGCAGCTTTTCCACGTGGATGCCAGCTCATCAAAACATGACGGCGCGGGCAGTACGTACGTCCAGTATGTGAACGTGTGCGACACGCAAGCACAGTCCTTTTCATCCTGCAAGTCTTCGGCATTTTTGCACGAAACATGTTACAGATCTTAGCGAAACTGCCTTTCCACAAATCACCAAGCGTCACTCCGTCGCGAAGTAAACTGACCCCCTCCCTTTTTTTTCCCCCTAGGCTCACATTCATCTCTGCCGCTGCTCCGGAACCTGAGGGAAACGGTCTGATTGCCATCAAGAGGGGAAAACAGCGACCCGCCTGGTTTCTGTTGGGGAGGAATGCAAGTCATGTGAGCTGAACTTGGAAAGGAAACTGCGTTTTAGCTAAAGCTACTTGGAAGGGGACGCTGTTCATGTCTTGTCGCGTTACGGTTTGACGGTTCAAGGCCAGTCCGCCTATTCGGAGCTCAGGATGGAAGATTCTGGCTCTTTCGATACAGGCGGCTTCAGTAGCGACGATTTTGGCGGAGGGAGCTCGGATTTCGGCGGTAGTGGCGGCGCGTTTGGCGGAGGCGACATCTTTAGCGGCGGGTTTTTCTCGGGTGGCGCGTCTATTAATCAACCCCAGATTTTTGAAGACGACGCGGGCCGCACCGACACGGGCTCGTTCGACCCTCCCCCAGCCGCCACTGGCGGCGGCGGCGGCGACGGAGGAGGAGCGGCTTCGTGGATTGCACCGGTGGCGGCGGGTTTGGGCGGGTTCGCGCTGGGTCACATGACGGCGGGCGGAGGCGGAGGCGGTCACTGGGGGGGAGGCGGAAGCCCCTGGCGTCGGGATAGCGGGTGGCGCCATAGCGAGTATGAGGATCCTCATCGCCACCACCACGACCACCACTACCATCACGACCATCCGCACCGCCCCCATCCTCCGCATCCTCCCCATCCTCCCCATCCTCCGCATGACCATGACGATCCGCCACCTGCCGTCGACCCATGCGAGTTTCGTGAATCCGTCGGCTATTTTCCGCCACCGCCCGCCGGCCACTCCCCCTCCCGTCTTCCGCCCCGCCCTTTCCGCCCTCCTAGCGCGCAGCCCGGAGCCGCCTCGCCCTGGGGGCACCGCGGGGGCGCGAGGCGGTGGCCGGCGCACCCGGTGGTGGCGCACTCGGGGCGGTTTCCGGCGGAGAGGTACAGGCGCCCGTGGCCGCCCGCGTGGGTGGTTGTCATGAAATGGCTGCCGTGGGTTGCGGTTGCTGGTGAGTGGATGGGTGGGTGGGTGGGTGGGTGTATGGGAGGAATGAGCTGCCTGCATCGGGTGGCGTTTAGGGGCGTTGAAATGGACGCGCGCCGGTTTGAGATGTGCATGCATGGCACCGTTGACATGGTGGCTGCTGTGAAATGGCTGCTCATTGTAACGAGCCCAACTGCCACCGTGACCAAGCATGCAATTTATTCTCTCTTCGTCCCCCCTGCCTTCTCTCCCTCCCCTCTTCTCCCCCCGGCCCCTCTCCACCCGCCCCATTCTCCCCGTCCACCCCGGCAGTGGCGCTGTGGCTGTACGTGTTCGCATACGCGTCCACCAGTGTGGACCTGCATCCGCACGAGCACCGCATGCTGCCGCAGTTCTCGCCCTTCGTTGCTGGCGTTCAGGTGGGCCCTGCTGGTCGAATAAGGAGTGGGGTTGAGAAGAGTGGGGGTGAAGCTTGGGTCCGTGGGTCAGTGGGGTGGGGTGGGGTGGGGTGGAGCTACAAGGGTCAGTATGAATGGGCGGGTGGGAACGTGCATGTGTTAGTCACACATGGGGATGAGCTGCTTCGCTTCCCATTCCCATCACCTTCCCCACTCCCATTTCCACTTCTTTCCCCAAAATGTCTCAGCTCAACTGGATTCTTCTCCCCTTCCATGAACCCGTCTCCAATCCTCCCCCGCTTCCCGAGCCAGGTGTCGCCACTGGCGCCGATGCCATCGCCCCCGCCCGTGCTGGTGACGTTCGCGCGCTACCCGCCCATAGTCAACGAGCAGTGGGCCACGGGCCGCCCCAACGTGCGCGTCGAGCCCTACTCCTACCGGGTGAGGGGGGAAGTGGGTGGGTGGGTGGGTGGGTGGGTGGCACGTCGTTGAGTGCATGTGAGCAGTGTGGCGAGCTTTGTGTGCCGCTGAGCCTGCAGCTAGCAGTGTGTGCTGGGTTCTGGAATGGAATACGGGTGGGCTGCTGCAAAGGCCTATACATGCGTGTTAGCACTGCACTTGTGCGCACGAATGCGCCACCTCGCCGTGCATGCACCGGCGTGAACCGCACGACACCGCGCCACATCACACATTTTCTCATCCTGCCACACATTTTCCCCCCACCCACCACCACCCTTCGCCCTGCTCTCCCCATGTGTGCACTGCACTGCACTGCACTGCACTGCACTGCACTGCACTGCACTGCACTGCACTCACATTGCGCCTGGCAGAGCTGGTTGTTTCACTTCAACAAGTGGTCGCAGATCACCCTCTCCTTCTCCAACATCCGCTCCCACCTCCCCCTCGACCTGCTAGTCGTTGAAGGTATGCATGCGCGCCCTCGTGTGCTGTGCGCCCCCATCCGCGTTCCCATGCGTCCCCACCCCACCCGCACTGCCCCCCTTCTCACCCTTCTCCCCCTCGCTCTCCCCACACCAGCTTCCAGCCCTGCGCCCTTGACTCAGTGTCCTTCCCTGATGCCCTTGATGCCCTTGATGCCCTTGATGCCCTTGATGCCCTTGATGCCCTTGATGCCCCTCATGCCCCTCATGCCATGGCTCTCATCCCATGTTTCGATGTTCTCTCATTTCGCCCTGTCTTGCAGCCGTCATTGTAGGATTCGGACTAACTGTTGTGCCATGTGAGTGTGACGGCATGGCACGGCATGGCATGGCGTGGTGTGGCATGGAATGACGTGGCATGGCCTGGCTTGGCGTGGCAGGGTTGAGTCAGATGAAAAAGTTCAAGGATGATCCGAGGGCGTTCACTGGAGCACTGAGGAAATACCCTCTCTCGGGTATGTACAGCACAGGTAGTGCCGCTGCAGAGAGGAGGCTCTGTGACGGAGAGAGAGGTAAACACGAGGGTGTGGTGCTGTTGCAATTCAGATCGTCAGTAGTCACTCATCATCCCCATGCCATCCCCATGCCATCCGCATGCCTTCCGCATGCCATCCCCATGCCATCCCCATGCCATCCCCATGCCATCCCCATACCATCCGCATGCCATCCGCATGCCATACCCATGCCATCCCCATGCCATCCCCATGCCATCCCCATGCCATCCCCATGCCATCCCCATGCCATCCCCATGCCATCCCCATGCCATCCCCATGCCATCCCCATGCCATTCCCATGCCATTCCCCATGCCCCACTGCTCCTTGTGTGCGTGCAGGCGACGACGCAGTGACGTTTCAAGTGCCCAGGGACAACGACTACTACTTCGTGCTCGTCAACTACAATGCCTACCCGGCTATGGTGAGTCCCGCCCGCCACCGTGAGTCGCGCCACCGTGAGTCGCGCCACCGTGAGTCGTGCTGCCTTTTGAGGCGCCTCAACAGTAGTCGACGCAGTGACGTGACCTTCTCAGTGCCCAGGGACAACGGCCTCTGTGGTTGGTTGACTACTTGGTGCTCGTCAACCACAATGCCTACCCGGCCACTGTGAGTTTGCCTGCTGCCGACCACTCTCGCCTCTCCGTTTCCTTCCGCGAGCTGTGTTTTCCACTTGCAGCGTGCAGGGGGAATGTGGGGCTGTGTTGGAGTTGGATGTGCAAGGGTGGGATTTTTTTTGGGGGGGCTGTTTGCCATTAAAGGTATATTATCCAAACAGTTCTCTCGCTGTCATTATTGTGTCTGTTGACATTCCATCCATTCTGCCTTGAATTCACTCTTAAGCTTCCTTCTTCACGCCAGTTGTTGTTGAGTGTCTTTCAACAGAAACCTCAATATCCGTATGTGTGCGTGCGTGATTTTGTGTGTGCATGTGCATGTGCATGTGCATGTGTGAGTGCATGAGATCAGGTGGGCTTGGCGCATTTCGAGGTTATCAGTGTGCTGTATGACATCAGCAAGGGCAAGAAGGCCTGCAAGATCAGGAACAGGCACCCTGCTCCCTTGGGATCTTCAAACGAGACAGATGACGTGGACGGGAAAACTTTAACAAACGCCACAAGTGGTTTCATGCGCATGCCTATGTCCATGAATGGCTCTTCGGCTGTTGCCCCACGCAGCACTGCTGAGCTGATGCCACCTGCTGATGCTGAGAATGTCACTGCCACATACACCAGTGATGGTGTTGCTCTCATTGATAGCGATGATGATGATGATGATGATGACTATGGCTTTTGCACTGCCAAGCTGCCACTGTGGGAAACCCGATACGTTGTTCTTGCTGCTCCCAAGGTGGGTCACTCTCTTGCCTTGCCCACTTGCTCTCTTGCCGCCTCGCATCACCTTACTCTCAAATCAACTTCAGATTCTCCATGTCATAAACCGGCAGGCCTGCGTTGTTTCCTTCCTCGGTTTCGAGGGATTGCTGTAGTTCATTCATCCTCCTTCATTCCTCCCGCGTCCCTCATGCCTCAGGGCTCACCTCCCGCCTCCCCCTCCCTTCTCTTGTTGTTCCCTCCTCCGCACGTACCCACCAGACGAACAAGCCTGACAGCACATGGCATGTGCAGGTGGTCTACCAGCCACGATGGCTCGCCTACTTAGCTCTTGTTGGTTGGTGTCCTCTCTACCTTGCCTTGGCTTTCCGTTCCTCTCCTTTCTTCGCCCCTACTCTCCTTCACTTGCCCTGCCCCTTAGGCCTCCTCGTTTCACCTGCAACCGTGTCTCTCTGGTCAGGCATGCCTGTGGTCTCCTCCCTGTTTTCCCTCCCACATTTAGCCTATAAACCACATGTACCACATGCACTTCTGCATGCTCGTATGCAGAATGCATTATATCTAACCACTGCTACATATTCACACCTCCTACTCCCTCCTGCCACTCCTCCTCCCCGTCGTCCTCACATCAACCCCACCTCTCTTCCCCGTCAACCGTCTCTTGGTTGCCCCTTCCTCCTCCTTCCCCCCCACTATACAGGCATCCCCTTTCTGCTCTCGCTCATCGCCCTCTCCATCTACCGCTGTCAGCAGTACCTGCAGCACCGCTCTGACTCCATGCGCCAGCCCTCCTCCCTCGCCTCCATCTCCACAGACCCCTCCCCTCTCCCCTCCTCCTCGCCCGCAGAGCACCACCCTCTTCTCGCCCCTACAGACTCCCCCCCGCTGTACACGCCTCTTGACCAAGCCACAGCAGCTGCGTGCAGCGACGTGTGCACAGCATCCCATTCACAAGCTCCGATTCCTGACACATGGGCTGTTTCAACCACCACTGACGCCCTACCTGATTCCAGCGCTCCCTCAGCCCCTCCCCTGGAGTCATCATCACCCGGAAAGGCAGAGGCTGGGATGGGGGCTACATGGCGGGGGAGTGAGGTGGCAGGAGGGTCGGGGTCAGGTGTAGGGAAAGGAGGGGAGGGTGAGGACCAGGATAAGAACTGCTGCTGCGTGTGCATGGAGAATCCGCGGAATGCGGTCATTCTGGACTGCGGGCATCGTGCCACGTGCTACTCGTGCGGGCAGGAGCTCATGCGCATGGCAAACAAGCGGTGCCCCATTTGCCGCAGGGAGGTGCGGGATGTTACAAGGATATACGACGCGTGATTTGCGGGGGTGACACTGCTGAGTAGACCACACGGGTTGTGTTGTGCTCGGCATGCCATCTGCTGGTTCGACTTGCGCGTTCAGACGCTGCTGCTGCATGTTTAGTTACCATAGCCTTCTTGCGTACTATTCCTATCATAGCTTTTCTTGTAACCTACGGTATTCCTGTCATGACTGTTTTTGCATACTATTCCTAGGATCTTCCGAGCCGGGCTTGTTTTAGTGAGCGGGTGAGAGAAGCTCCCAACATGCAACATCAAGCCTCTGTTTCAGGTGTGAGGTAGGAGCACCTCCCAACCCAGTATGCAACAGTGCTACTGGTACTGTGTCAGAAGGGGTGATATGATAAGAGCAATTCCCTGCAGATTATTGGCCAAGTAATTTAGAAGCGTGGACATACTGCAAACATGCGTTAATTAGTCCCAGAACTCTCTGGGAAATTCACCAGGTTCAATATGGTGAAGCCCAGCACCCCATGGACGTATGCCCCAGGATGTTTCCGGTGTGAAGTACTATTCCTACGTGTTGATAGAAAACTGTAATTACTGGGAGGAATTCATCAACAGAAGTGGCAAAAATTGAACCAGGCCTGTTCATTAGATCGGCCTGATCAAAAGGGCAGTTTAGACAGCGGCGAAGTACTCCTTGCTGCCCTTGGGGTCGGGCTTCATGGTCTTCTCCCCAGGCTGCCAGCCAGCAGGGCACACCTCATCAGGGTTGTTCTGCACGTATTGCACGGCCTGCAGTGTCCTCAGGGTCTCATCCACGGAGCGGCCAATGGCGAGGTTGTTGATGGTGGCGTGCTGGATCACACCCTTGGGGTCGATGATGAACAGACCACGAAGGGCAATGCCCTGCACAAGAAGCATCGTACAACATCACGGACAAGGGACAATCCCGGTTGAGTTTCGACGCAAATTGCACCCTGTCAGCTAAAAACGAAAGAGAATGTCATTTTGGAGCGAGTCAAGTTCATTGCTGTAGGGATAGCCGCTCTTTAGGGTTGTGATGGTTAAGCAAATAGCGAATTCGAGTTTTAGCTACTGTTAGGGAACTTACATCCTCCATGAGGACGTTGTACTTCTTGCTGATAGACTTGGTCAGGTCAGCCACAAGGGGGTAGTTGAGGTCGCCAAGACCACCGGACTTGCGGTCGGTTTGGATCCAGGCAAGGTGAGAGAACTGCAAAAAAGAACACCGGAAATTGTGTGAATTTGCTCAAGAACGACGATCGGCATTCACGAAGAATTTGTTAAAAAACATTGGGACACATACCACGCTGTCCACAGAGACGCCAAGAACCTCGGTGTTGAGCTTCTCGAACTCCGAATAGCGGTCGCTGAAAGCAGTGATCTCTGCAATTCAACAAAACATACACATACAGATGTTTAAAATACCGACTGGAGTCAATATTGTGACAACATTCTCCCTCTGATTTGTTACGAAGTAAATTTCGTATCGTACCAGTGGGGCAGACGAATGTGAAGTCCAGAGGGTAGAAGAAGAGGACGACGTACTTGCCCTGGGACAGGTACTCGCTCAGCTTAACCTGAAACAGCAGCAAGAATGTGGTCGGTCAGCGAACGCAAGCCATTTGCACACATGAGTCATACATTGACCGAAGGAAGACAATTTCGATCACTAATGTATTACATACCTTGATGAACTCCTGGTCAAAGACAGCATCGGCCTCGAAGTCAGGGGCATAGTTGCCAACAAGGGGAGCCTCCGCCTGCGTAATATTCAAATCGGGTGCGAGGGTGAGTCCAGAATAAGTCAAACCGACACAGTTCACGCAAGCAAGCTGGCCAAGCATACCTTCACAGCGAAGACGCGAGTCGACTTCTGGGCGGGGGCGGCAGTGGCCTTGGCGGCCTTGGCGCACCTAGCCTTGAAGGTCTTGCCAAGACCGTCGTGCCTCGTGAACCCGAGGGTCAGGCTCCTGGAAGCCGAGATATCCTTGGCGTAGGAAGAAGCGCCAAGAGATGTGGCGACAGAGCTGGAGCTCAAGGTGGTGGTAGCGGCCATGGCTGCTGGGAGACTGGAAATGCAGGAAGGATTGACCAGGAGATTGATGGACGCAATTTGGTGGAACAATGCAGCAGGTCTGGTTATTACTTGGAGCCCTTCTCGCGATGGACAATGGGTTTGTGATGTTCTTTCTGGCCTGGATGTTCTGCAAGAGGGAGTTGCTGACATGGCGCTTCTCGAATGATAAGGCTGGCACTTATGACGTCGCATATCCACGTGGCGAGACCTGGCTGTTCTGTTGGGGAAAGATCGTAACTTTTGTGGTTGGTCTGTGTTGGTCACTTCTGCCAAGTAAGTGCAGCCCTCAAGCTCGAATTCGTTATGGGACTTCACTGTTCCGCTACAAGACCCGACACATAAAAGTTGGACTTTCCCTTTCCCTTTTATCCATATAACCAGGCTGGAGCACTTCACTTTCTCAAACAGTGAGTTGTCGAAATGTTGTTAGCGAATGTGCAGGTTACCTTGCGAACTCGTAGGTATTCGTTCGAGGTGGAGGTTGGGACCACTGGCGCTCCCAAGCACACAGAACCTGCGAGGTCAGGAATTTCAAATTGCCTGACGCCATTCGTTCGGCCAATCAGAGCCTCCTGAAACCAAGATTTGGCGCCATAACTTGAGTCAGACAGTCCCAGAGCCACACACAGACACCCTCGCCAGACCGCGAGTTTGAAAGTCAGGCAGAAAAGATTCACTTATCTCTTCAACTTTCACCCTTAGTGAAGGACCCTGACATCCCCTGACCCAGCTTCGGCCATTTCATACTACCAGACAGTGCGTGCACCCCCGAGCCGCCATTCATGTGCCCCGTCGCCTTCGCCACTGTCGCTCCAATGCAGCTTTGAGAGGAGGTCGCCTTTTTTGACACGGTTCGGTAAATGAAACGGATATAAGAAAGTATGCCAGCACATTCACATGCACAGAACTCAAGATTGGCTATAAAACTCTCGCCAAATCCTTTTCGCTGGTAAAGTGACATCCTTAGTTCATCAGCCATCGTTGCCCACGTCCGGACTTGTTTTTTCGGACTTCGCTCAGTTATATTCATCCAAGATGGCTGGTGGTAGACGCCCGGCTAACAAGGTCACTGTTTGCGAGAATACTCTCGAGCAAGATGTCACTGCTGTTCCGACCAAATCCGAAGCTCCCGCTAAAGGCCGCGGCAAGGCTACCAAGAAGGCTGCTCCCGTCGAAGCCGACAGCCCGCTTGCAGAACGACGACCAAGCATTGAGAACGAGCTTCTGGCATTGACAGCCAAGCTGGAGCAAGTGACGTTGGAGAAGCAGAAGAACGACCAGATTCTGGAGGAGAAAAACGCTGCTCTTCAGGCCAAGGCTGAGGAGAACCAGCGCCTGGCTCGTGAGCTGAAGAAGCTCCAGAAACTCAAGCCGTTCGAGCCTGTTCTGGTAAATGACTGAAGAATTATTCCCGATGCCAGCATGATCAGTGTCTCTACAACCATTTTCGTCCCGTTCCTCCCTTAAACTTCATCTGATAGTCTCAACTGTATTTGTGGTGCAGGACCTTGATCTCTCCCTTGAAAGCGAGGATGGCGACAAGAAGGACAAGGACCCACGCAAGCCCAAGCGTCCTACCTCCGCTTACGTCCTCTGGTGCAACGACGTCCGCGAGAAGGTGAAGGCGGCGAATCCCACCGCTTCCGTCACGGATCTTGCCAAGATCTTCGGAGAGATGTGGAAGACCGTCCCCGCTGAGGAGAAGCAAGTATACGAAGGCCAGTTCAACGAGGAGAGCGAGGCGTACAAAGTCAAGAAGGCTGAATATGACAGGGTAAGTCTTGTTGTGAAACCGTGTACACTTGCCATGCAATTTTTTCTCTTCTGCAGTCACTCAGCTAATGATGACATCCTTTTTGTGGTTTCAGATGATCGAGAAAGAGAACAGGGAGCAGGCTGCACTCAAGAAGCTTCACGAGGAAAGGAAGAAGGAAGCAGCTTTGAAGCTTCTCGAGCAGTACGAAGCTCATCAGAAGGACGTCGCGGCGAATGACAAGAAGTACGCACCAGTTTCTTTCCCTTGATTTCGCGCTACGTTCCTTCTTTACGAGTCTCGTATGCTCATTAGCTTCGTCGAGTTCTCCTGCAGGAAAGCGAAGGACCCTGAGAAGCCCAAGCACCCGCTGTCAGCCTTCATGCTCTACTGCAACGAGCGCCGCCCGCACCTTGTTGCGGAGCGGTCGGAAGAGAAACGCGACCCGATCGAGGAGTCGAAGCTGCTGGGCGAGGAGTGGAACAAGATCAAGGGCACCAGGAAGGCCGAACGTTTTGAAAAGCTGGCCCTGAAGGAGAAGGAGCGGTACGGGAAAGAGATGGAGGCATACAACTTGAAGAAGGAGGCTGCTGATAAGCAGGTCGCGGCAGAGAAGCAGAGGAGACACGAGGAGGATCTTAAGGAGGCGGTGGCGCTAATGGATCAGGAGGATATGGCGAGGAAGAAGCTGGAGAAGCAGGTCGCCAAGCAGGTGGCTGCGGTCTCCAAGAAGCAGCAGCCGGCGCCTGCAGCTGAGGCGAAGAAGGCGGCCAAGGACCCCAACAAGCCCAAGAGGCCCATGTCTGGGTACCAGCTCTTCTGGTAAGTTAGTGATTCCGCTTGTTAGTGATTCCAGCTCTTCTTGTTATTTTGTTCCCTACAGAGGTCTACGAAGTTGCTGACTGTTTATTTTGTGTTCTTCCCTCGCAGCTCTGCTGGCCGCGCCAAGCTGGCGGAGGCCAACCCAGGCGTGTCGTTCGGAGCGCTGAGCCAGCTCCAAGGCAAAGCGTGGGGTGAGCTGTCGGAGGGCCAGAAGGCGGAATGGAACAACAAGGCGGCTCCCGCCATGGAGGCGTACAAGCAAGCCATGGAGAAGTACAAGTCTGAGAACCCTGCCGCTGCCGTGGATGACGAGTAGAATGATACCATCAGGGGTGACGGAGTGTGGAGGGCTTCCTTGGCCCCCTAAATAATAGACCTAGGATAGGGTAGTAGCCTTGAACAACTTACGGTAGCTGTATCGGCCCTTCTCTCTAGGGTCTTGTTCATATTATACCAGTCTGGTCTGGAACAAGCTTATTCATACCGACATTTGCCTTGGTTCGTGGTTGCTTGTCATCTGTTTTGCTGATTTCAGTACGGTGCGATGTGTTGACTAGCTTTGAACAACTGCTGGAGTAAGCCCAGCAACAGACATCACTGAAAAATATGAAGCGTCAGGTTCGTGTGATGTGCTTGTTCGTTGCGGGCCCAATTTTCCAATTCAAATTTCCGAACAGCCTGACAATTTTCCGTGTTCCCTCGAAACCAACTCTTCTTCCTCCCAACCCCGAACATATGAACATCATATGGATTGTGTGCTGTACCAAGTAGTGGCATGGCACGTGGAGCGCCACGTGATGATGTTAGGCGCCCTGGAAAGCTGTTGCCGCCTTATTTTAGCGTAAATGCTGTCAGTGGCAACGTATGTGACTTGTCGTCCGACGACTCGGCGCCAGCAGATTCGACGCCTGAGCCAACATTGACCATGCGGGAACAGTCAGAGGGCCGCGCACAGCGCAGCTTGTCGGGAAAACGGGAACTGAAACAGTCTTCGCGACCAACAGCGACGATCCGAAATAAGGGGACGCGTAGAGCAGATGGCGGAAACGGGGTTGCGGGAGGTGACGGGACAAGCGAACGCGCGAAAGAGGCGCAAGCGCCGAGAAAGCGAGGGAAGGCGGCGGAAGGCGCGCAAGTGGAGCGCGGTCGGCTGCTGAGTCTGGCATTGGAGTGCGGCTTCCGACACGACGACGCCGTTAGGTGTCTGCGGCGCATCACTGACGCGTATGGTGCGTATGCCTGCCATTCGCGTCCGTGACGCCATGGTTTGGAATCTTTGGCATGACGAAACGTTGTGTTAGTACGGCTGGATGTGATGGTGCGAAGCGCCACGTCGAGAATAAGTGCGATCGAACGAACCTATTTGTGGCCAGTGCTTGCGGAGGCGCGGATGCCTGTCGTTTCTCGTATAAGCGAGCCCCATTCGTAGCTTCATCCGTCGTTGGTGGCCGTCGCACAAGCTCTCCTTCTCCCCAAAGCCTCCCCCCCTACCCCTCACTTCTCCGCGCCCTTCTCTCCGCACCACCCTTATTATCCGCCATTCACCACCCATCATTCCCCCGCTCTCTATGCGCATAGGCGACGAGGGCGAGAGCTTCGTGACGGTGGAGTCGTGCGGGGACGAGTTCCTCGCCATGCTCGCTGACCTCGCGGACGAGGCGGACGACTCCGCGGACGCGCAGGCGTCGGCGGAGAGTAGGGGGAAGGGGGAGCGGGAGGGGGAAGATGATGGGTGCCGCGATCTGGACGATCTCGGCCACGTGGCAGTCGAGCTGGATGATGAGGATGATGATTTCGAGGGTGATCAACTGGACGCATGGCTCTGGACAAGGCTGGGCGGTACGGGAGATGTAGGTGGCTTGAGTGAGAGAGAGAGCGGTGCAGCGCGGGGAAGTATGGTGCAGGGCGAGGATGTGAGGTCCAGGCAAGTCCGGGCGGAAGACGGGTCTGCTGTGACTGATGCTGCGGGGAGGTTGCGAGAAGGGACCGAGGCCAGGGACCGAGGAAGCGGGGTAGCGGCAGAGAGGGACTGGGGAGGAGAGGAGGGGGGTTCGGAAGCGGGGAGGAGCGAGTGGGAGGGGCAGCCATGGGCTTGGGAAGAGTTGGGGGAGGCCATGGATCTAGGTTTGGAGGATGATGGGCAGACCGATGGGTGGTCCTGGCATCCACAGCAGCAACAGCAAATGAGAGGAGGAGACAAATGCGCCCACTCTTCTCATCCACACGCCCCCAACGCCACCCCTTCCTCCTCCACTCCCCCATATCCCTCTCCGCCCCCGTCATCACGCTCAGTTGCCCCACCATCACAAGCGCCCCCACCATCATCACAGGCACGGGCATCAGCATCAGCATCATCGTCTGTGTTGCTGTACCACGAGGCGCTGCAGCTGGACCAGGTGGCCCTCGCGAGCGCTGCAGTCTTCGGCCACCGGCGGCTGAGGGACGGGCAGAGGCACGCGTGCGAGGCTGCTCTGGCGGGCAGAGACGTCTTTGTGCTCATGCCCACTGGCGGGGGGAAGAGCCTCTGCTACCAGGTGCCGCCTTGGACTTGGACTTTGCACCACCTTGGACTTTGCACCTCGTTCTCTTTATTCTCTTTATGATTCAGAACGACTCTCCTTGCGTCTCTTTCCAATCTCCGCATTCCTTTCCTCTCTGGACCCCCCTCTACTCGCTTCTCTACCCCTCTCCGTACCCTCCTCTCCTGCCATCCTCTCCCTTGCTCCTCCCACCCCCAATTGCAGCTTCCAGCAGTGCTATCCCGCGGTGTCACCATCGTGGTATCGCCTCTCCTTGCCCTCATCCAGGATCAGGTCATGGCCCTCGTGCACCACCACTCCGTGCCCGCCGCCTTCCTCTCGTCTGCGCAGACAGCAGCGCAGGCAGCAGCAGTGGCGAGGGAGCTGCGCAAGGCAGTGCCATCGTGCAAGCTGCTGTACGTCACTCCCGAGAAGCTCATGGGCAGCGCCGCCCTGCACAGCATCCTGCGCGGGCTGCATGAGAGGGTACGTATGGCCACGAGGAAAAGAGGGCGGGAGGGGGGGAGGCGCGAGGGAAGCTGAAGGGGAGAGCGGAAGGGTGGGAAGGTTGGAAAGGGTGGGAAGAGAGGCGCATTGAAGGGAGGGAGAGGGCGGGGGTTGGGCAAGGGAAACGGTGGGCATGGGGGAGGGTGGTGGTGAGACGGAAGGGTTGAGAGGCATGTGGGAGGAAGATGTGGCATTGCAAATGGCACGTACATGCATCTGGTTGTGGCACACCGTATGCCTTGTGGGCTTGGGAAAGCATGTGCATTACAAATGGCACAAGTTCTCGCGTTTATCCCTGTGCCACACCCTCGCCCCACGCCTTGGGTCGCCCCACACTCTTCCCCCCGCGGCCTTCCCTCCACTCTGTGCGCACTCTGCCCCTGTGCGTGCATGGCAGGGTATGCTGGCTCGCTTTGTGGTTGATGAGGCCCACTGTGTCAGGTGAGGGAGGGGGGCACACGGCGGTAGCACGAACAAGGGGGCGTGGTGGTAGGGAGAGGTGGGGAGATGGGGGGTGGGGAGATGCGGGGATGGCGCTCTTTCCCTTGACTAACCCCTCGTGTGATGACGCGAATTTTTATTAGACTCAAAATTCAATCTTGCCCATAACTACCTCCTTCCTTTGCTCCGCCTCTGGTGCAGCCAAGTCCTTTCCCATGCCCCACTAAACCTCGTGCGCACTCATTTTGACCCTTCACCATCCCCCCATCCCCTTCCCCTCGCGCTTCCACATCATACCATGTCCGCCTGCCTCTCCTTCCCTTCCTTCCCCCAACCGCCGCTCTCTCTCCCACCACTTCCCCCTTTCCCTCCCCATATCCCCACCTCCAACCGTTCATGCTCCACCTCTCCCTCCGCCTCCCCTCTCCCCTCACCTTCCCCCATCCACCCCACCAGCCAGTGGGGCCATGACTTCCGTCCGGAGTATCGCCAGCTGGCATCCCTGCGCACTCTCTTCCCCGGCACGCCCTTCCTCGCCCTCACCGCCACCGCCACCCCTGCCGTGCAGAAGGTAGGTCTAGACGAGAGGAACCAACCGTTTTCATGTCACATCCCCTTGCTCTTCATCTGATTCGTGAGTTGTTGTTTGTGAGTTGCCATCTGTGACTGTTGAGCTTTGAGTTGTGAGGTTTGACGTCTGTGTGTCAAGTCTCTCCTGCCACCCACCACTTCTTCTCCCCTCGTCTCGCTCCCCATTCCCTCTTCCCCCGCACTCCCTCTCTCTCCCTTCTCTCCCGCTCTCTCCCCTTCTCTCCCCGGCTCTCCCCTCTCCCCTCCTACCCCCCGCTCTCTCCCCCACACCCCCCTTCCCCCCAGGACATCACATCAGTGCTGCGCTTCCCCCCATCATCCGCGCACATAGCCCTCTCCTTCGACCGCCCCAACATCAGCTACACCGTGCTGCCCAAGCACCCCTCGCACCCCCTCGCACACCTCGCTGCACTCGTCTCTTCCTGCTTCCCCCCGCCCGCCACTGGCATCATCTACTGCCTGTCCAAGCGCGAGGCTGAGAGCGTGGCGGAGTATCTGCGCTGCCCCCCGCACCTGCGCCCCGACGCTGTTACCCCTGATGCTGTCGCCGCTTCTGCTGCTGGTGCTGCTGCTGCTGCTGCTGCTGGTTGTGGTGCCGTTGCGGCCGCTGCTGCTGCTGCTGCTGCTGCTGCTGCTGGTGCTAGTGCTGTGGAAAGGGGAAGAGGGGAGGGAGAGGGAGAAGAATGGGAGGTGGATATGGAGGGGGTGGTGGGGAGGGGAGAGCAGGAGGCAGGGGGGACATCGGCGGAGTGTTACCACGCGGGGATGGGGATGCGGGAGCGAGTGGCAGTGCAGGGGAGATGGAAGGACGGGCGCACTCGGATCATCTGTGCTACCATAGCATTCGGCATGGGCATTGACAAGCCCGACGTGGTCCGGTCGCCCACACCTTCCCTCTGCCGTTCTCTCCCCCACTCATGCACAGACACACATGCAAAGAAACACTCCGTTTTCTGGTTCCTCTATCTGCACCCGTGCCCCTGCCTCTCCCAACCAACCCTGCAACATCCCCACGTACCTCACCCACTTACCCATCCATCCCATCCATCCCACCCGTGCACCGTCCCCTGCAGCGGTTTGTGATCCACAACAGCATGTCAAAGTCTCTCGAGAACTTCTACCAGGAGTCGGGCAGGGCGGGCAGGGACGGGCTGCCGGCCACCAGCATCGTGCTCTTCGCCCGCCGCGACTTCTCCCGCGTCGCCTGCCTCCTGCGCCGCTCCGCCTCCTCCGCTGCCCGCGCTAGTGGCAGGGGTGGGGGTGGGGCGGCTGGCAGGACAGCGGCAGCGCGGAGGATGCAGGAGGAGATGGAGCGCGCGCGGGAGATGGTGGAGTTCTGTGATGATCAGGTGCGGTGCAGGGGGTGTTGTGCTTGGGAACATGTGTGATGGTTCATGGCAACAGCCGGTTCATGTGTTCTGAAGTCCTGGGGAAGTTGGTGTGTTCTGGGAAGGGTGGTGGGGTGGACTGCCAACGGTATGCACCCTGCTCCTCCACACCCTTTACACTTCTCGTCTCTCATGCGAGCATAAATAATCACTCAAATAACCCATCTCCTCCCGTGATCTCCCTCCTCCCCCACTCTCCCCCTACCCAATCTCACCATCCCGGCCCCCTACCTCCCTCCATCCCTGCCCCCCTGCACGTGCAGGACAAGTGTCGGCGGCAGCAGCTGCTGAGCTACTTTGGGGAGCAGCAGTCACGTGACACGTGCCCCCCTGAGTCCAACCCCTGTGACCACTGCCGCGGTGTGCGTGCCCCTTGTGCCTCGGCCGCCACCCCTATCACTCGCACGCCTGCATCCACACCCACCACCACGACTGCCGCTCATGCACCACCTGTCGCTGCCACTGCCACTGTTACCGGTACTGCCAGTGCCAGTGCCAAGGGTACTCGTAGGGGCAGTGGCAGGATAGCGGGTGCAGGCAGGAGAGACAAGCAGCAAGGCCAAGGTGGGAGGAGGCGGCAGGCGAGGAAGTAACAGTGGGGATGATACTGGTGTCATTATGAATTATGAGTGTCATTTTCCAAAGCACCATGAAAAGAGACTTGCAAGGGCTGCACAGTACTGCTGACAGGTATGGTAGAGCTTCTGAAAGAAAGCAACAGGACATGCAAGGTATACAAATATATATTATTGGAGGTGGACAAGAGATGAAATATGCCACTTTGCCACAGACAACCAGCAAGCTGCTGCAATGCAGGTGCCAGAACAGTAGGATTGGCCTACCAGTGGTCCTTACAGCTGGGTGGAGCATAAATATACTATCATGACTGACATCCCCCTTTCCTACCTCCTCCAAGCCTTAAATATTATAGCGCAATACTAGTAACAGATTCCATGTTAGGAGTAACCATTCAGACCAGCACGGGGCAACCATACGCCCCATCATCATACCCCTGCCTTATCATTCTGACACCACAGAAGCACCTAATGGATCGTTCATCCAGAGTGCAGTGCAGTGCAGGCTCACATGTCATCCACATCACCTGCAACAAACACCCCGCCCTTCCTCCCGCCCCCAATCCCCAGCGCGAGCCCCGCCCCAGCACCCCCATGATAACTCCCCCCAACCACAGGCCTAGCGCCCGGGGAACCATCAAACATGAGCGTGGCTGTGGAGGGGGAGCGGCGCGCCAGGCACGCGCGCATGCTGCCGATCTCCGCAGCAGCCGCCTGCACGCGCTGCTTGTCCTGCGCGCTCAGCTGCGCCAGCCGCGCCGGGTTCGCCTGCAGCCGAGCCATGTCCGCCTCCAGCTGCCGCATCTCCTCCTCCAACCCTCGCAGGTCAGCCTCGGAAATCGCACTCCCAGGTCCGGCAGGGCCCGCTCCTCCAGCCCCGGACACGGACTCCGAAGGGGAGTTACCAGATAGGTGACGCTGGTGGCGGTGGCTGGGGGTGTGCACGTGGTGATACGGCATGCCGCCAAAGGTCAGCTGTGGCTGCCTCTGCTGCTGCGGCATGTGCAGCTGGTTGCAGCTGCTGGCTTTAACCATGGACCGCTCCTTGCTCTGCGACGGCTGCATCGCTGCTGCTGTAGCACTAGCGGAGGAGACGGCAGCAGCAGCAGACCCCTCCATCATCATCATCATAGCCATCTGCTGCTGCAGCTGCTGCTGTAGCATCCTCTGCTGCGGAGTCAGCTCCGCTACAGCCGCCGGGCTGCTGCAGGCGGCATCAGCACCACCGCCCGAGACGCGCGCGAAAGCACCCGACGCGACAGGCGTGGATCGCAGGGAAGAAGACGACACGGATCCGTTCGCGATGGCGACAGCAGCGACGGACGGGTTGTAACGGTCGGAAGTAACGGGCGACTGCTCGATGGGCGTCAGCACGGGACCCATGGCCGACACCCATCGATCCGTCCCGCTGCCCCCTTGCGCCCCGGGCCCTCCGCCGCCGGCCCCGCTACCTCCCGCGGAGAACCCGCCGCTGCCGTTGGCGCACGTTGCGCTGAAGTGGCCGTTGGCAGTGCTGCTTCTTCCGAACGACGCGCCGCCGAGCTGCATGTGCATTACTTGCTGCTGGTGCTGCGGGGACAGCATCGGCGCGCCGCTGTAACTTCCGGAGCGCGACCGCGCGAACTCGACCGATCCCGTGGTCTTATGGCGGGCGAACGAGGCGCTATGCGGAGAGACCTCATCGTACGATTCGCTCCCGCTCGCGTTCCCCGACGCTGCGCCCACAATCTGCCACGGGCTGACGTTGCTGCCGCTGTCGCTGCCGCTGCTGTTGTCGCTGCCCGTGCTGCTGCTCGCGCTGCCCGTGTTCGGGCGGAGGAACGACGCGCAACCGGCGCCGGAAGACGCGGAGCAGGGGTCGGAGTCGGCGCACGAGCCGCCGGGGACTTGCCGCTGGCTGTAACCGTGATTCTGCTGCGGCGCGTATCCGTATTTCCTCGAGGATTGGCTGGAAGGCGCAACGGCGATCTGGCGCGCGGAAGACGTGCCCCCGGCGAGGGGTCCGGATGCGCGGAACCAGCCGCTGGAAGCGCCGGCGCACCCGACAGGCGCAACGGGGCCGTTTTCGACGCTGTTGGTGCTGCGGCTCCTCACGACGACCCCGCTCGCACTAGTAACGCCTGCAGTGTCGACAGCGGCGGCGGCGGCACCGGCGGCGGCGGTGCCACGGCGGGGGCTTCCTGCGTAATACGATTCCTGCGCGTTAGGAAACGCCGTGCCCGTGCCATACGCGCCTTGCAAGCCCTGATCTGGCGGGGCGTCGTTGCAACTCAGCACGCGCTTGATATGACGTGGCATGCCGTTGGCCGACCCGTGGCGGTGGCCTTTCGGTCGAGCTGGGACGGCGCCGAGCGGCGCGGAGAAGATCGGCCCGGGATAGTTAACGTACATTTCCGCAGCAGCGGCAGATGCGGCGGAGGTCGAAGGGTCCGGAGAGAACATGCCCGACGGGTGCTGCGGCGGCAAAGGCGGCGTCTCGCCTCGCTGGATCGCGAGGAGATCTAATCTCAGTCCACTCGCGCTCGGGTCGCCATCAGGCCCTGCGCCAGCTGCGGAGAGCGCGGAGGGATCTTCCTCCTCGGGGACGTCGAAGAGCGCCTCGAGAGGAGCCGACAGAAGGTACGCCGCTAGGCCCGTGGGCGTCGTCGAATGCCCGTCTGGGCCGCCGGCGGAAGATGCGCCGCCGTCTACGGAGAAGGTCTCGGAGTGTAACTGGACGGCAAGCGCGGCGTGATGGAACGGGCCGCTGCAGTTGCTGCCGATGGAGCTCTGCGATAACAGTCGCTGTAATGGCGGGCCGCTCATTTGCTGAGATTCAACGGACGCCTGAAAGTGCTGACTTTGCAAACTAGCGAGCCGCGCCAGCTTGCCGGACATGACGGGCGCGGCTTGATCGGCGTCAATAGCCTGCCAAGACTGGAGATCGTCAGAGCCGAAAGGCGACGGATGATGGTGCGGACCGGAGGACTGGCGCAGCGAGGCTTCTCCGCCGGCGTCCAAGGGAATGCCGTCGTCGCCAGGGACGTCGAAGAGCTCCTCCGTTGACGACGACAGCAGCCGCGCCGCGAGGCTTCCTGGCGCGGCGTCCTCCCACACTCCGTTGCAGAACGGTAACGGCGATTCGACTGCGCCGGATCCGTTCGACGATCCGGTGGCGGCGGCGGCGGCGTTGGTGTTTGCGGGCGAGGACATGTAGCTGGGCATCGGAGCGCTTGAGTTTAGGAACATGCTGGCTGTAGCGGCGGCGGCGACGGCAGCGGCGGAGTGCGACGGCGATGGCTGGCCTCCGTGCATTCTCGTGTATTGCTCTAATCCGTGGATCGGAAGAGCAGTAATGCTCATGACGGCGCGGGAAGGAGAAAAAAATGTACGGCTTGGGGCTTTTACTTGGCGAATGTTAGTCACAATGGTGTGTTGGCGGACTTCACGCTGATATCAGTTTTGTGCCAGACCTCGCAGAAAATGGCGATTGTGTATGGCGGAATGTGGAGGTGTGGAATGGAAGGTGATGTTAGAGCGAGTGTGGGTGGTGTGGTGTGATGAGGTGGGCACGTAAATTGCTCTGCTGGCGCGTGCTTTTCTATGAGATGGAGGGGGGCAGGCCTAGAGGCGATTTTCGGTAGGCGCATCGCAGCGAGAGAGGGAAGGATTTGGGTGGGGCATAAGGGGAGCAGCAAGTGCGGAAGACTTCCGCCGCGGGCAGTGAAGAGGAGGAGCCACGAGGGAAAGGGGAGCGATTTGATTGACATGTGGGCGAGTGGCGGGGCGGTGTGTGCGCCGACCGAAATCAACGACCCAACAGGGCGCACAGCAAGTTGATTGAGGATGATTCAAGCATTGTCCCATGAATCCAACGATGGAGATCCGACGAGGCGCGATCTGCCCCAAAAGCCCCCCGCTAATGGCACACACAACCACACCAGCAAAAACTTCTCCCCTTTCTGGCCTTTCAACACTTCGGTGACTGGCTCAGGAATTTTTTGGGAGGCAAGGGATTGAGGGGGAAAAGGGGGAGGGGGGATGTTGAGGAAAGGGGTGTGGTGAGGGAATGAAAATAAAAAACGTCTGGTTTAGTGCGTTTCTGTGTGGTTTGGTATGGTGTTCACGGGCTGTGTGCTGCCCAGTTGTAGTTTTTGGTTGAACAAGCCGATTGTTTGGACAAAATTTGGCGTCGTGTTGTCGCACAGCGATGATTCCAGAGAAACTTGTGAGCTGTACATTGGAGTTTCGAACCGCCAGGGGAACGCGGCGAACACCCGCAAATAAACGAGAGGCTCCCATGTGATGCGGCAGCATGTGTGGTGCAATTTGCAAACACTGTACTTTAACACATGGCAGCCTTTTTTCGCAACATGGACACACCACGGTGCAGCAGCGAAAGCTTTATCCTATCGCCCGTTGACAATTGGATGCCATGGATGATATGGCAATCAGCTAATGGTGAATTTGATACATGTGGAGAAATTCTTCCAATCGAATGGCTGACTCATGGTGCGGAGAGTTATCTGGGCCAAAGCCAGTTGTTTGACGAGAACAGTTTGCGGCGAGCTTTTCCCACACCTTGGGCAAAGCGACGCCAACCATTTGTGCATCACACTCGCCTTATTCCTTTGAGGTGCCTCCCCTCCAATAGTAACACGCCGCTCGATTCTCGAAGGCCACATGTCTATATTCCGACCCACGAATTCCAAAACAAGGTGGTCGTCGCACTCTGTAACGTGTGAAAGCGAACATGAGCTTCCCGCTTTTCCGCCAAGAACGACACAACTCGATGCGGTGGTTAGCCCGCAGGACAACTGGATACCGTCCGTGGAATAAATGCGTGCAGACCCATGGGCCTCAATCAGGTCAGGCGCCGCAACCAATGCTGTAGAGATGGGCATTTTTTTCTCTATCCCTGAACATTCTGGGTTGGGCTTCCATCCTGAAAATTACCTTTGACCTTTATGTGCTGCTTGGAGCCGATTCAAACTGAACACACAGGGGACCAAACGCACACTACTCCCCACCCTCGCCATCTCAACCCCCAACCTCTCGCCCATTCTCCCTAACTCAGAAATCATGTACTAAACATTGAAGTACACAGTCTAATTATGACAGTAGATGACTGGCGCCCGCAGAACGCAGCCCAGTGTTTTCGTACAGCCGCAATTCGACAAAGAAGAAATCATACGCAATAGTAGAAGTGCGTTGTAGTTACTACGACCTTAAATCTGTAAACTCTTGATAAATACATTCCATTAAAATAAAGTGCAATGTTATGATGATCGCAACTATGACAGATAATGAAAAATTAATGGTCAATGCAGTTCAAGCAACGGCCACATACATAAATTCATACAGACTATATTGTAAATTTCACTATTACGCATCATTATTATGTACGGTGTGCGTTTATCCGTATACTCTTCACCATTTCACAAGTTGGACTATTTTATTATTATATGGTAGCCTAGGTCGGTTTATTTAGGGTACATTACTGGTACTTATGAACCATCTACAATGCTATTTTCTTTATATATATGTGAACTACGCACACATGCATGTTGATAGTCCTTACTCCGGTACGGTATGTTTCATGAGTTTCCATTCCACAAGGCTATGTACAGTATTTGCATTTCACCAAGACAAAAAGGGGGAAATAAAACACCATCATAGAATTGGGAAATGGTTTGCTGAACCTATGCATGAATACTACAGCAGCTTTGTCTTCATCACTCCCAAAGACACAACTTTGCCAGATTGCAAGTTTACGGTGTTAACACAGTAACAGCCAAAGACGCCATAATGTCACAAGAGCACGCCATGAACACTGCAGAATAAACAGCTCCACATAGGAGCAAACCCTAAGCAGAATTCAGTCCCATCAACAAAAAGTGTCAGAACCGTCACTGAACTGACGTTTTTTTCCTTTTTTTTTTTTGTGTGCTCTTTTTGTCGTTTCTTCAGGACTCTCTGAAATGTGCACCCCGACTATCCTATTTGACCAAAACTGCTCGGTGCCCACACTATCAACCCCAGTTGCTGCAGCACGCACCCCTAGAACTCCCATCATCAGGAAGGTTCAGCTTCTTCCCGGCGGATAGGTTAAGCTTCCCATTCTCCTCATCTATCCAGACAGGTCGCACGCATGGGGAAGGCAAGGAGCGTGGGAGGGAAGGACAGAGTTAGCGCAAGGTTGTGAAACAACTGTCAGCCAAGCTGAGCTGAACCAAATTCACAACTTACAAGCGCAGTCAGTGGTGCCACTTACCATGAGAAGGAAGGCGTTTGCTGACGTGGTTGTAGATTTCAGCAATGACTGTCTCAAACGCTTCGTCTACATTTGTGGCGTCAAGGGCTGATGTCTCCATGAAGAACATGCCCTCCCGCTCAGCCAGCTCCAAGCCCTTTTCAGTAGGCACAGCACGCAAATGAGCGAGATCCGTCTTGTTGCCCACCAGCATGACCACCAGGTTGTTGTCCCCTTGGCCTGTTCGTGGGGAATGTTGGCGACATAAGTTCAACAAGGTTTGAAAACTGCATCTCCATAAGATCCAAACCGTCTGACAAGCACACGACGACATTGTTCCAGAGTTCACTTGTAGCGAGGAAAGACTCTTTTGAGGAACGCATGGCAATGTGAGACGAGGACCCACTGAAGAAATGTCACAAAGGTTTCCTGGAGGACTGTTCTCCAAGCTGCTCCTGGTAGTTCCTTCGTACGCGTTCGAGAAACAGGTTGGTAGTTCCTAACCCCATGGCCCAAACACTCGCGTCCTCTTTCCTCCATTCCCAGACTTGCACGAACTATCAAAACTCACAATGTACGACCCACGGATCGATATTGGAAATAAAATAAAATAAAAAAGAGCAACAACGCAAAAACATTTCAGGCCATCGTTGCACTCACTTCGAACTTCCCGGAGCCATTGCGAAATGTTATCGAAGCTGCTACGCCGGCTGATATCGTACACCAACAGCGCGCCAAGGGCTCCGCGGTAATACACGCTGGTCACCGCTCGATACCTCTCCTGCCCTGACGTATCCCAGATTTGGGCTTTGATCTCCTTGTTGTCGATTTCCATTGTCTTAGAACGGAACTCCACGCCGATAGTGGCCTTTGAATCTCCGTGAAACTCATTGTGGGCAAAACGGGATGCAAGATTTGTCTTGCCCACACCAGAGTCACCAATCAGGACCAGCTTAAAGAGGTAACTGTCTGCTGCTTGGCCATCTGCAACCGAAGGGCCTGGCATATTGGCCTACCACGACTGTGCGTCAGGCAGCTGCTTCAGAGCTCTTCTGATGCAAGCTAAAGCCAAACGTCGGCTACTCAGGAGATAGTTGGCCTGGAAACAGAAAGACGCGCGTATGGCACACAATGCGTGAGGATGGGGAACTGACCAAAGAAGGAAATAGAACGGAACGAGAATGAGCGCGCGAGAAATAGGAGCAGCATGGAAACACAAGGAGCAAACAACAGACCTGCGATGGGGTAGGAATGAGAACACGACTCACTTTGACAGAAACAGCTGAGACAGTACGCACACCGCCAACGTCCTTATCGCTCAGCCTTGTGTCCGTAACGGAATGTGAACAGCGACCTGCAGAGCAGACTATGCTCGCAACGACCCAACCAGCACACAACCAAGGCCAGACAGTTTCTAGAAACAATTGTGGAGACTGACTGATAACCCCGACATGAGGGGCAAGATGGTTGGGGGAGATGATGGGCGAGTAAAGCGGGGGTGCTGATGCGAGGTGTTGGGTGGGTGATGTGAGGAAGGTGGGAGAACGGATGGGTGAAAAGGGGGAGTGGGGATGGAGAGAATGAGGTGCAGTTGGGGGTAGTTGGATGGTTGGGGGGGTAAATTGGGTGGGGGGAGGTGGCGGAGAGAGGGATGGACCAAGGAATCCAGGGTCGGGGCGGGGGAAATGGAGGGCGGATTTGACTAGCGGAAAGGGGTAACACGACGGTGCGTTGTGCTGGCCGTCGATGCTGGCCGGTAGGACTGATTCCGTCACAGATCTTACACATCCCTAGGACCACGGGATACTCGTCATTGGTTGGGATATATCTTCGTCTGGGGTTCACTGTCGCATTCAATTCGTGTGTGCACTGTGCAGTGAAATGGTTACACCCATGCTTTCTTTCCACGATAAGCAGAATTCTGTTATAAGCCCTACTTCATATGCAGGTTAGATTTATCACCCAGACAACTAAGTAACGTGGCACAGAGCGGATATGCAACATTATGCGTGAATGCGATTATTTTCCCATCAGAAACTGCAGGATCAATAGCTTACTTGTGGAGGGAGCGTGCAGAGACTGCTTTAGGCCCAGGCTTTTGGATCCACCCTGTCATGACAGTAGGGCATTTTATAAGATTCGCTTTGTATAGGAGACGACACTGCGGAGGCGTGCTGATCAGATGTACCGAGAGTGCTTTCTGGATGCATTCGCGATTTGGGCAATTGATCTTAGTGTGAAGGTCCTAACATGCAACAGGCGGCATGATCTAAATTCGTAGAGGGAGCAGGAGCCACTGGTGGGAACAGACGAGGTTTTGCCACTGGTGGGAAGAAGCAGAGGGAGGGTTTGGGAGGGGAGAGGGGTGAGCAGGAGCAAGTAACGCAGAGCACACGCCGAGACGACACGAGAGACGCGAGAGACGCGAGAGACACGAGAGACGCGAGAGGCTCACCAGTGGCGTCAGGCGCATCAGCATGGCGTCGACGTCCCAGCGACGGCGATCTGTGCTGCTCCTGCGCCACACCGCGTCCCTCCTCGTCTCTCGAAACCACCCGAATTTGACCAATCGAATGCAGTCCCGTGGCATATTTGGCTTGGCAAGAGATGAGCGGCCGCATCGTGCCTCGAGAGAATCGTCACCTTCACTCCTTATCAGCCCGGCGATCTCGAGGCTCCGCCTCGCGCCTCGACTCCGCCAAGCGCATCCCGTCACCTGGCCCTCACTACTCGCCCCACACTCACCTTCGGCAATTCCGAGGAACACCCATGCCACCCATGCCACGTGGCAGCTTCCAACACGGGTACTGATTCCCAACCGCCACCTCTCTATCGGATTCTCCCTCCCAGTTCTGGTTCGTGAGGCGAGGACCCCCTCCATGCATTCATCTACCTTCCTTTCTCCACCGTTTACCTTCCTACACACGTACCACCTTCCTCCTCCCTCCTTCCAACTTCCACAACCATCAACATGGCCGTAGTCATCGCCATTCAGCACCAATGCTCTACCAGCACCCCAGTCCAGTCCTCACTCTATGCATGCCATCAGATTGCCTCTCTTTCCCTTCTCCCGACCCTCAGATTGCGTCAACGTCATCGTCAGCGTCAGCATCATGTTCAAGAGCGATAGCATCCGCAGCAGCTGCAGAACCCGCCCCTGCCTCCTCACAAACCGCCTATCCTCCCAAACACGTCTCACGTAACTCACAGAGCCAGCCCCGTAACATGGCTCCCCTCTCACAAGGTAATCTTCCCCCTCTCCTCCCTTCCCTCTCCCCTACCCCCTCCTCCCCAACCCCTCCCTCCTTCCCCCACCCCTGCCACTCTAGCTTCTACTCGTGTCTTTACAACTGCCCTCCTCTTTGGACGTGTTTATGCTCCCTCGGATCCGTCCTCCAACTCTTCGATCCTCTCATCCCTTCAGTCTTCTTCCCCCTCTTCTCCCCTCTCGCCCATATTCCCGTCCCCTCGTTTCCCCCGCCCTCGTTTCTCTCTTCACCCCCCCTCCGCCCTCTCTTTCCCCCTCACTCCTCTCTACCTCCAACGCTCAACCATCCTATCTGCCCTCCTACCATCCTTCCATGCCTCTCTCCCACCATCACTCCGTTCCTCCCTTTCTCTCCCCCGCCCTCTCCCCCATACTCCCCACCCCACCCCACGGCCAGCACGCATCACGTCACTGCCCCCCTCATCTCTGGTGGACGCGCTGTGCGCCGCTCTGCCCACTGCACGCACCCCACAAGGCAGGGCGCAAGGCACAGCACCAGATAGGCCACAAGGGGCGCAAGGAAGCAGAGGAGAAAGGGCGGTGAGGGAGGGTGGAGGAGAGACAGTGGATCTGCTACTGGAGGAGCTTGAGAGGCGCGTCCAGGCAGGGGTGGAGAGCGGTGTGGAGGGGTTGGGGTTGGAGAGCGTGAGGTTGGAGGAGCAGCGGAGCAGGTTGGGGAGCGTTTCAAGTGGAAGGGGTGTGGGAGGTGAAGAGAGAAGGGCGAGGAGGGAGAGGAGGGAGAGGAGGGAGAGGAGGGAGAGCAGGGAGTGGGGTCAGCTGTGTGCGCGCGTGCTGCGTGCAGCAGCATTGGCAGGGAACGCAGACGTGGGGCATCGTGTGATGCACGCGATGCTATCAAGCGGTGTGCCCGTGGCGGTGGGCGCACAGATCTCCTTCCTCCGTGCCTTGTGCAACGCCGGCAGGATGCACGAGGTAAGCAGGCACGCAGCAGGCTTCACGCACGCACGTGGGAAACTGACCTGACAGCTTATGTCATGTGAGGGTTCCAGGCCAGGGTGCCTCAAGTAGTAGCAGCAGGAGTCTTTGGTGCTGGATGCTAGGCCCCCACCACTTTCTCTTCCGTCCCTGCTTTTTCTCTCTCTTCCGCTTCTCTCACTTCACTCCCGCTTGAATCCCTCACTGCTCCACGATCCGTCTGTCTGCCTCTCATCAGTTTTCACGTCTCCATTCCGAGTGGTAACTAAAGTCGGACATGAACGTCCTTTTATATCACAGCCCTGGTTCTGTCTTCATCTATGTGTGTCTGTGTGTGCCCTCGTTCAGGCGTTGGACTGGCTTGAGATGCGGGTGCAGCAGCAGCAGCAGAGCGACAGCAGCAGAAGGCTGGTCACCGCAGGGAGGAGAGGCCAGGCGCAGCACTCCCACCATCATCGCTCAACATCATCAGCATCATCATCATCACCATTTTCACCACAATCACCACTACCACCAGCAGCAGCAGCATCAGCATTGCTGTCCGCATCAGCTTCACCAGCAGCGGTGTGCGCACCGCTGTGTGCGGGGGTGTTCAACGTGGTGCTGACGGCGTGTGCGCGGGGCAGGGACAGCCGCAGTGCAGCGCGCTGCGTTCTGCTCATGGAGCAATGCGCCGTGCCCTGCGATGCCATCTCCTACACCGAACTCATCAAGGTGGGGTGGGCCCCCGCCCTTATCAACACACACACCTGCACATCCTTTCCAGCAAAACCTCCCCCCCTCCCCTTCCCCGTTCCCCTTCCCCAGTCCTTGTCTGTTTTTGTGGCGCCTAAGAAATACACTTCTATGTCCCCTCCTTCTCCGTGTCTCTCAACCCCCCTCCCTTCTCATATGTTCTCCCTGTGTGTGCCTCTCTGCCGTCGCCTGTGTGTGCTGGTTTGGCAGCTGGCAGGGCTAGTGGGGGACCGAGAGGCAGTGGAGGATCTTTGGAAGCAGCTTCTGCACGCCATGGCCGCTGCACACTCGCATGCTGCTCCTACTCCTCACTCACCACCCTCACACTCACTCCACAAATCACCCACCAGTCCATCTTCCCCACTCTCGACCGACCCCTCACCCACAACCACCACCACCACCACCTCTTCCTCCTCCCCATCAGCCCGGCATCCCCATCCCTCCCCATCGTCCCCTTCCCCCCCGTCCCCCCCTCCCGCTCCCCCGCCGCTGCCCCTCGTGGCTCTCTCCGCGCGTGTGGTGGCCCTCTCCCGCATCCCCGGGGCTCTCTCTGACGCACTGCAAGCCATGGGGGACATGGAAGCAGCTGTGCTGAGGGAGCTGCAAGGGGGACACGGCCGGATAGGCTCTGGGTGTGGTCTGCTGCTGGAGAGAGCTGGTGCAGTGTGGTTGAAACCGGTGCGGAGTGGGGTGGAAGCAGTTTCTGCGGCTGATGAGAAAGATGGGCTTTCTGCGACAGGACAGGGAGCGGCAGGAGCAGTGGCAGTAGCAGGAGGAGCAGGAGCAACTGCAGCAAGAGTTTTGGAAGAGAGTGACAGATCTAGTGCCAGGAAAGGGATGGGCACGTCACGAGCGCGAGGCACATGGGGGTGCAACAGGGAAGGAGCATGGGACGGAAAGCAGCTGCTGGCGCTCATTGCTCAGCATGAGAAGCATGAGACAGAGGGCGTTGGTGCTGATACGCATGGGGAGTCAGAGGGAGCGGCACTGGGTGGAGCTGGGGAAGGGAGCGGCGAGGAAGCAAGAGGGGACATGGGATTGGGATTAGGGATGGGGCGGGGAATGGAGTTGCAGGGTGCGAAGGAGGGGCGGGAGTGGGAGGCGGTGGAGATGGGTTTGCGGGTGGGGTGGAATGCCATCCTTAATGCGGCTTCGAAGCATGCACGATGGGACTTGGCTCTGGCTATGCTGCAACGGGTGAGGCAGATGGACTGGAGAGCGGAGAGAGGAGAGAGGAGAGAGGAGAGAGGAGAGAGGAGAGAGGAGAGGAGAGGAGAGGAGAGGAGAGGAGAGAGCAAGAGAGAGATGGCATGGTTTGTACAGACCATTTATGTATGTCCACTGCACCATCTTCTTTTACGCCCCTCTTTCTCGTCCTGTCTTTTCTGTCCCCAAGTTTCCTTCTCTTTCCCCCCGTCCTTGCCGTGTGACCCCGTGGCCCCCTGCATCAATCGATCAGATGGTGAAGTGGGGAGTGCATCCAGATGACTACACCATCAACGCTCTCACCCGCGCTGCCTTCGCCTCCCACCGACCCACACTCGCACAGGCCATAGTAAGTATCGCCAGTCCACCCTGCTCCTTCTTCACCCCCCTCTTCTCCCTCTTTCCCCTTTCCCCATACTCTCTTTGTTCCGAATTCCACCCTCTTCCTGTATTCGCCTATGCATGCATGCGCTCATTATCCTTTCCCCCTCTCTCCATTCCACCCTCTATTCTCCCCGTCCCCACCCTCCGCTCCCTCCCTGACCCACCCTCCGCTCCCTCCATGCTCCAGTTCGACCTGATCAGTGGCACCACTAGCAACCGTGAGGGCTCCACTCCTGCACTCACCGCTCCAAACGGCTCCTTGGCCTTTGCCTCTCCCTCTGCCGCCCCCAGCAGCCACAGCAGCAGCGACAGCAGCAGGGGCAGCAGCGGTAGCAGCAGCGGCGAGTCTCTCCGAGTGGCTGTGGATTCCTTCCTCACTTACGGCTTGATCCGCTGTGGCAGCACACAGGACGCTCTGCGCCTCTTCCACCAGATCAGACAGGCAGGGCCCAGCACCAACAGCAGCAGCAGCAGCAGCAGGACTCATGCCCTTGCTGATACTGATACTGATGATGGTGATGGTGATGGTGATGTCTATCATGATGAGTATGATGACGACTCTGGGGATGCTACTCGTTCCGATGCAGCAGCAGCAGTAGCAGCTGCTTCCATCGGCTCCCCGGAGCATGCAACGCGCCTGCGGTTCGCAGGCAACGCTCTCATCCGCGCGTGCAGCAAGGAGGGCCGGTTCGACGATGCCTTGCAGGTGTTCAGAGCGATGCTGGCTGACCAAGTACCCGTTGACACCTGCACTCTGCAGGCGCTGCTGCTGCTCGCTGCCGGCCCCACCACGCCCACTAGGTGGGGCATCAAAGGGAGTGGCTCGGGTGGAGGAATGGGAGGTGGAGGGGACATGGAAGGGGATTGGATGGGAGTGGACGACGGATGGGAAGTTAATGGGGGAGGAAGGAGGGGGAGTGAAAGTAGGAGAGTTGGTGAAGGAGGTCCAAGGGAAGTGGAAGGTGAATGCGAATCTAGCATTGGAGGGTGGCAGAGTGGGGATTATAATCACAAGGATATGGATGGAGAGACAGGAGGCGCTGTGGATGCATGGAGAGATGAGGGCGGTGTGGCAATGCAGGCACGTTTTGGTGCAGTTATGGGGGAGGGAGGGGAGGAGGAGGGAGAGGAGGGGGGGACGAGGCAGAGGGAGGTGTGGCGGCGAGTGGCGGCAGTGGCGGCTGCAATGGGTGCTGCTGGTGTCAGGCACTCTGCTGCATCCTTCTGCACACTCGTGAGTGGAATCTTCGCTGTTTCTCTCAACATCACCGCCGCCATATGACTTTTGAGGCGCCTCAAAAGGCGACAATGGGTGCTGCTGGTGTCAGGCACTCTGCTGCATCCTTCTGCACACTCGTGAGTGGAATCTTCGCTGTTTCTCTCAACATCACCGCCGCCATATGCTGCCACAGGTCCAATTTTCTCACCTGACAGTGAACACCCTACCCTCCCCCCCTTCCCCTCCCTCCCTCCACCCTCTGCTTTCCTTCCTCCATCCTATTCCCAATTCCTCCATCACCGGATCCTCCCCCTCCCTCTCGCCTCCTCTTTCCCTCCCACACTACCCGGCAGGTGCGAGTGTTGGGAGGGGCGGGGCTGTGCAGGGCGATGCAGCAGCACGTGCAGTGGGGGCTGTCCACGCCTGATGCTGCTGGCCGCCCCCTCACCGACACGCTCACTCTCAACAACGCCATTGCTGCCGCCGCCAGGCTCGGCCAGGTGGGTCCCTCTCTTGAGACGTCTGGGAAGCCGCTGCTGGAGTGGCCGTGAGGGGAGTTGTGGGTGCATGAGGCGGCCCAGTGGTGGCAGAAATGGGGTGACTGTGAGGGGGAAAAAAGGTGCAGGGGGCAGAGGGGAGGAAGAAGTGTGGGAACAGGGAGTGGCCTCTCGCTCTTGCTCCTGTTTTGCACTGTCTGTTATCTCAGGGTCATTTCTATGTTGCTCTGCTATACCCCCCCCTTTCCCCTTCCTCCCTCTGCCCCACCTTCCTCCCCCTCCCACTGCCCCTTACTCTTATCCCACCCGCGTCATGCTGCCATCCGCCTACCGCCTCCCCACCACCCCCTGGATTACCCAACCACCACTGTTTCCACAGGTGCACGCAGCGAGGCAGCTGTTTGCTCTAACAGAGCAGCACCCGCACCTCACACCCACCACCGTCACCTTCAACGCTCTGCTCAACGCCCTCGCTGTCGCTGCTGCGCACAGAGGAGCGCACAGTGCAAGTGCGAGAGGGGGCAGGAGGGGAGGAGACGTGTGGGTGGAGAGGGATGGGCGGTGGCAGGGTGGAGGGGAGTGGGAGGGCGAGGGTGGTGAGACGGACTGTGTGGCGGAGGTGTGCGAGGTGATTGAGGAGATGGAGGAGAGGGGGATTGAGCCCGACACCATCACGTTTAACACTGCCATCAAGGTTTGTGTGTCTTGCTCCTTGCCGTTCCTTGCTCCATCGTTCCTTGCTCTATGCCGTTCCTTGCTCCATGCCTGTTCCTTCTCTGCGCTGACCCTCTTGCTTCTGCGTGCGGTTGCTCCTTTGCTTGCTTGCTTGCTTGCTGGTCCGTCTGTTCGTTTACCTATATGCATCCTCACCCATCTCTCGCTTGTTGGCTGTGTGCATATCTACATGTCCGATTACTCAACAATTTCCTCGTTGCTTGTGTGCATATCTATGTGCCCGTCTCCTCGTGTCTCCATGTGTGCTCGCGGGTGTACACGTGCTCGTTGCTCGTTGCTCGCACTGCAAACCATGTGGGTCATTACCTGGGAGCATGGCAGGCGGCATGCAGTGTGCAGGACTACAAGGCAGCGCATCGCTTCCTAGCGCGCATGGAGCAGCACCCTCGTCTCGCCCCTGACCAGACCTCTTACAGCACTGCAGTCGCATATGCTGCCTTCCAGGTGAGCGTTAGTTGCTCACATTGCTGGCTGCTCTGTTGAAGAGGCTGGTTGTGCTGCTGTTGTCTCTTCCACGCTCCTGTTGTTCTCTTCCCCCACAAATCTCCTCCTTTCCCGCTCTTCCTCATGCTCTGTCTCTCCCAACCAACCAATCCCAGGGCAACATCTTTCACATGGAGCTGTTCTTGGCACGCCTGCTGCGGCAGCGAGTGCCGCTCTCCTTCTCCGCGCTTGCCTCAGTCGCAGAGGCATACGCGCATGCCATCCCCCGCAGAATCAACCAAGTCACACCTGCTACGCTGGCTCTGGCCGAGCACTCCCAGCAGGTGCAGTGGGAGGAGCAAGGGGGCAGTCTTGGGGAAGGCCAGGGGGAGAGCAAGGGGATTGAGAAGTCAGAGGAGGGGAGGCGGGGGAGAGGGTCGGCAGTAGTGTCTGGTGGAGAGGGGGAAGGAGGAGGGGTTGCGGTGAGGAGTGAGGAGGGACGGTTGATGGAGTTTGCATGGCAGTTGGCAGCAGAGGTGGAGATGAGTGGTGGAGGTGAGGAGGAAGGGGGTGGAGCGGCGAGGAGGGAGAGTGTGGTGGGATGGAGGGCCCGGATTGAGGAGCAATTACGACAGTGGGAAAGCTCTTTGTGAACGAAGAGGTGCACTGCAAACATGGCTGGAAGAGTTTAGGTAGAGTAGAGGTCGAAAGGTTCATGGTCTGTATATTACAGGCTCATGAAGTGGTAGATTGTGGTGGAAATTACTGACTTGCAAGGAAGTTGCATTGTCCTGTTCCATATGCCGGTACAAACGTACCCATACAGATCAAACACTAGGCAAGCAAGTCAAAACAGAGCTGCTGCAGCAGCATGTACAGCATGACCGTTGCAGGTTGGCCAGATTAGCATATGCAACTTCACTTGTCTACACTACAAAAACCATACAGAACCATGCGATACTTGCAGCAGATTTATTACCTCACCAACAAGAAACATACACAGCCACACCACACCAGCCAACCCCTCTAGTTCAGCGGATTGATGTCATTGACGCGGATCTTGGCCTTCTGCCCCTTGCGGCAGTTCTGCCAGACGCGGCTGCCGAAGTAGAGTGTAGTGCCGGCCTCGACCTGCCGAATGGTGTAGATGTACTTTCCGAAGTAGGACGGCTTGGCGAGCTGCGTGGCGAACGTGTAGTCGCACGCCTGGTATGCCGCCATGGTCGGGAACTTCCACACGTCTGATCTCCACCCGTTCCACCGGAACTCTGCATGCGGGAGAAGGGGAGGGATGGAGGAGAGTGAGAGGGCGAGAGAGTGAGAGGGTGAGAGAGCTGTGAGAGAGGGAGAGTGGGAGTGCCTAGAGTGAGGTTGAGAGAGAGTGAGGGAGAGTGAGAGAATAGGAAATAGTATGAGGGAGAGAAAGGAAGAGAGAATGATGTGAGGAAGTGCAAAAGCAAGGTAAGGAAACCGGAACGATGCAGGGCAGAAGGAGAAGTAAGGCACTTTCACAGGAAAGAAGGTGAGTAAGGGAGCAGGTTGTTCTCCCAGGGCGGCATACCGAGGTCGTTGCCCGGCAGCACGCGCTGAGGGTTATACGTGTGTGCGCGGAGATTCCAAGGGTTGGGTCGGAAGGTGGGGAAGTTGTAGTTGCCGCCCACCACGAAGGTCGTCAGGGGATTGGCCTGCACCACCACACGCGCACACGGAGGAGAAACAGACGCCGCAAAACCCTCAGACGATGCTAATGACGGCAATGGGCCGTTCTAACACAAAACATTACGTCGTGCCAGCCGTCGCGGCGAGTTTGACGCGCGAACGCAGAAGCGAAACAGGTTTCGCACGGTTCTGATAGAGAAACCCAGGGGTGAGCGATTGGCGTGACGAGCGGCGTGACCAGGGTGGCATGAAGAGGCGCACCCGTGACGAGGTGACGAAAGAAGCGGCGAGGAGCACCACCACCGCCATCACGACTCGCTGGGAGAATCCGGAACGCTGCTGCATCGCCATGGCTCGAGCTTGCACAACTGCTCTACTGAGCGAGAGCGGGAAGACAGATTTCGAGCGGCAACAGAAAGTTTAAACAACAGCTGAACGGAATCGATTGACAAGAAGACCGGAAAGTTGACAATGGTCCGTGTTGGGTGGAGCGTTTCCATTTATAGCATCGCAGCGGTCAAGCGCGACTCATGGCAGCGCTGGGTATGGGACGGGGAGTCGTGGGGAGGTGTCGAGTCGGGTCAGGTTGGGTGTCGGGTCGGTGGAGGTGTAGAGTACTGTACGGCTGCATCTAGCGCTTCGCGACGGCTGTACCAGCACTGCCTTTGGTGTGGCGGCGACATCGGCGCCAGATCGGACACGCATGGCGAAAGGAAGCATGGCGAAAGAGTGGGCTGAGGGCTGGCCGCAGCAGATGTAACCCGCCAAGAATAGCGCTTCCATTCGCCTTTAACGCGTTGCGTAGCCAGCACGACATTCTTCGTAAGAATGTCGGTAACGGCATTGGCCGTGTCATCGGCAGGGGCACGCGAAGCGATGTACAGTACTATCGTTCTGTGGAGGACGTGGAAGTTCCACGACGGTTAGAGGACCCAGTCGCGAGCTGCAGACAGCAGTAATGAAGCGCAGGAATACAGGCGTTGCGATAGAGCCAGTGAGGAATGGCAGTTGCGATTGGGCTGCCATGACTGCCATGGCTGCTGCTGGTCCAGAAATGCATTGCCTGCTGTTGCCTCGGGGTGGCGGCCACATGAGGACAAGATTCTGTGGCTCCTTCGGTAAGCGGGACTCAGTAAAAGCAACATCTATAGAAAAGAACGGCTTCCATGAAGTAAAAAGCACATTCATCAGGTTCAATACTGAACAAGAGTGCATCCTTTCAATTTATCCCTCGATTGAATGTTATTTTTCCTTGATTCTTTATGAGTGAATTGTTTCTAAAAATAAAGTATCATGATAACCATTCTAAATATAAGAATATAGATGATAACGCGTGCTTTTAAAATAAGAAGAAATCAAGTTTGATGTGAAGAGACTATAATGTGACAGCATTGTATTAACATAGATCCTCTTCAGTAGTAGTTTCTCCATAGAATATAGCTGCCAATAGTCTATTTGCGTAGTATACAAACTGTTACGAATAGTAATATTTGATATTACTGTGCACTCCTCACCGTAGCAAAGAGAAGCACGCAGTAACGAGAATGAACGCGAACCGTCAGACGGTTGGAATTGACTCGAAGCGACGGACAGTTGGAACGCATCTGGACCGTCGGAAGCAGACGGCATCGGGCAGCTGCAGGCAGGATGGTTTTGGCGGGAACAGTTACGAAACTGTACGCGCCGCACGGTTGGGAGTGAATTTGAATAAGGGAATGTACCCCTTATAGTACATGGCTAGATAGGTCTGTTCGCATTCCCTTGTACTCTTATTTATATGACCTTGTTTGCATGTTTTTATCATCTCAAGCATTTACATTCACTCTGCTATTGAGATCAAGGGCCCACCAACTATTCTCACTGCGTGCGAACCTTCCTGGGTAGATCCCGGCCTACGATCAATCTCTGATCGCAGCATGGTATGAGAGCGGCTCAGGAATCCTTCGCACTGCCACTCCCGAAAATTGCGACATTCGGAAAGTGGCGTCCGGCACACGCTCACGAGTGAAGATGGCCGGAGGATCTGGTGGTCAGACCAATCTGACGGCTGAAGCGCAACCAAACCCGGCTGCGACAAGCGAGAACACGACGACAATCAACTCCGAAGTTCTCGCACAACTTCTTCAGCGACTCACCAGCTTGGAGCAAGGGCTCCAAACATTGCGGAATGGCGATGCGGGAACATCCTCGCAACCCTCTCAACCGGCCCCGACTGGCCAGAACGCCACCCCGCAAACTTTCTCCCTCGACACCAATGGCTCAACCCCCAAGACTCCCCGTCCCAGTGAAGAGGCAATTCTCTCCGCTCAATCAAGGTTCCTCAGCATATCAAAAATAAAGACAAGTACCTGTTTTGACGGCAGAGACTTTTACACCTGGAGCTTCGAGCTGGAGCTCCTGCTTCAGAACGCCCAGATCTTCCACTATTTCGACGGGAGCTACGCGGAGCCTGCTGAGGACACCGACGACGCCAAGGCGCGGTATTACAACGAATCGCTGATGGCGTACGGGGTGCTCCTGCGGAATATGTCGGCGGCGGAGCAGCTCAACATTCGTTCATACAAAACCACAGCTGCTCCAGCCCTTAACGCCTGGCGGCACCTGACAGGAGTCTACCAGCCCAAGGACTCTGTCTCTTCGAGCCGACTACTCCAGGAACTCCTGGAAACCAAGATGACCGCAGGGGAGAAAGTCAACAATTACCTTAACCGCTGTCGGAGCCTTCGCGATCAAATCGTGAAGTTGGGAAGCACGATTTCAGAAGAAATCTTCGTCAACATCGTGCTTCAAGGGCTCGGCCCAGAGTGGCGGCCCTGTAAGGCGTCACTCCGACAGCAGGGGGTCATCTCGGAGGCCGCCCTTTGCGCCGCCCTTCTCGTCGAACAAAGGGATATGGACCAGCAGCGACCAGCGCCGCGACGAGAACGCGAACGGCTCGCCTTCTACGCCGACAACACTGAAGAGCGAAAGCCACGGCGCCTCTACTGCAAGATCTGCAGAAATTTCGGGCACCTGGCGGATCGATGCAAGAACCGATCCCGCCCTCGCCAGACCAATCCGAGCACCTGGTCCGGCCGTCAAGATGCACGAGGCGACGTGCGTCCTGCCCAGGGGTATCAACCCCCTCCCGCGCGCAACCTGAACCCAGCAGTTCAGCATCAGCAGCAGCAGCCGTCACCGACTGCCCGCAATGTCATGAGCAACATGGCCATGACAGGCGAATCGCGTCGTCGCCGTGTCCGCTCGCCTTCACCTGAGCCGGCACCGCACCCAATTGGCGCGTTCACCAACAACAACCCGTTTAGTCCGCGCCGCGACTTCACCGACGACGACGACCAGGATTGGAACCTTCCAGTCCCGCTGCTTGAAAGTCCCCCGCACGTACCTGATATGCGGGTGGCGCCACTCGATTGGCTCACGCGCGAACAATTTTTGAAGTTCGACACTCCGCACATCGTCACGCCGCGACTGGCGCTGCTCGCACGTGACGACAACAAGCGCCACAACACCTGGTACCTGGACAGCTGCTGCGGCCAGCATATGGTGGGGTCGGAGCGTTACATATCCAACGCCGTCGCCACCCCTACCGTCACTTACGTCACTGTGGCGAACAACACGCTCGTGCGCAGGGCATCGTCGTGCTCAAAGCACGCGGAAGCCGCACGCACATCACACTTAACGATGTGCTGATCGTCCAGAACCTGCGCTTCAACCTTCTGTCCGCCGCACAGCTCATGGATTGCGGCGTCGACCTCAGCACGGACCGCGAAACGCGAGATATCCTGCTGCACTACGAAGCACGCAACTTCCCCCGCAGGCAGATCGGACGAGCACACTCCGAAAATGGAGTGTACGTCCTGGATTTCGACATCCCCGACTGCAGCGGCGATTCGCACGAGCTGATTGACCTCGTGCCACTGCGCTTCGAGCACATCCACCGCAGGGACTGGAAGCACCCTGACGGCAGACCGTGGGTGCCGCATCATCCTCACCCACGCGAAACGGCGTTACACAACCCCGACCCCGACGGCATATGCAGGGATTGCCACACGCCGACGACCTCAACAAGCGCGATCGCCGGC